ACTAGAGGTCATAGTCTCAAGATTGAGGGTCAGCCTTTTCGAACTGAGTTGAGGAAACATTTCTTCACTCAGAAGGTAGTGAATTTGTGGCATTCTCTACCCCCAGAAGGTGGATGCTCAATCCTTGAACATATTCAAGACTGAGGTTGATAGATTTCTAAAGGATAGAGGGATTAAAAGATATGGGACAGGGCGGGTAAATGGAATTAGGTTAGAAGATCAGCCATGATCTTATTAAATGGCGGGGCAGGCTCGAGGGGCTGAATGGCCTACTCCTGCTCCTACGTCTTATGGTCTAATACAAGTTCACGCACTGTTACAAATATTTTGTGCCCACAGAAGCTAGTTCTGGTGTTTATAACAATAATAAATAATAAGAATGCTTTCATTTGATATAGCGCCTTTCACGTCGTTATAACTTCTCAAAGCGCTTCAAGGATATACTGTAAAGTGAAGTGACTGTATATAATCAGCCTCAGGAAAAATAGGAGAAAAAAATACTCTTGAAGAATAAGAGAGAGCAGGAAAGGATGTCAGTGTCAGTATCCGTGACTAATTGCCAGGGCTTAGACTGTGACTGCTTTCAGTCTGGCTGTCAGATTTTAGTGGAAACTGCTTATGTTCTGTGTTTTGCACAGTGATGAGTGACAGCGATGAGAGGGAGCTTCTCCCTCAGATCCTGCACAGCGGCCAGCGTTCCCCGGTGAGGCTCAGCGTGAGCGAGGTACACAGAAAGCAACTCATTTGGCATCGCTTCCTCCTGGCATCTCGTTCGGAAGTGTTAGACTTGCATTTTAAAGAGTGAGCTTCACTATCAATATCCCTTTTGGTTAAAAGTCTAATTGGAACCCAAATAAAAATGAATTCTGACATCCTTGCTGTAGCCACACATGACAGTAACTTATCCAGTCTGATTACTCATCGGGATTCTGACTCATAGGGCTGAAGACATGTCTACATCTCTATGACTCATTGCTGAGCCCATCGAAGCAGGTGAACCATTACAAATTCATTGAATTCATAATAATAATATTAATAATAATCCTCGCACGTGATATAGCACCATCAACAACAACTTGGATTTACATAGTGCCCTCCACGCCGGACGGCGTCTCAGAGCGCTTCACAGTAATGGATCGCGGGCCGAGCCAGGGGAGGGGGGAGGGGGAAGGGTCAGGGGGAGGAAGGTGACCAAAGGCGCAGTCGAAAAGAAAGGTCTTCAGCAGAGACCTGAAAATGGGAAGGGAGGGGACGAGGCAAAGAGAGTAGAAAGGCAGTTCCCGGAGGAACGAAGGTAACGGGTACTGTTTTGAGGAGAGAGGAGGTCAGAGAGGTCGAGGGGTGCAGAGGAGTGCAGGGACTTGAATACAAGGGTGAGGATCTTGAAATCGATGGTATCATATCATTGAGAGGTCTCAAAGCGCCGGTGTCCCACAAACAATTGTGGATTGAGTGACCAAATTATTAAAAATTAGTGTGGACTCAAACGAGAGGCTGGGTTAGTTAGACCAGAGTTGAGATGATTGAGTGGGGGGGTGGGGGGGGGGGGGGGTGATGTGATTAAGGCGTTTAAAATAATGAAGGGAATTGACAAGCTAGTTAGTGGACGACAAATCCAGAGGACGCCAATGGAGGTATCTAACGTAAAGGGCGAGTTTCTGCTATAGTGAAGTGACACATGATGACACATGTTTGTAAAGGGGAAGATTAGCCAACTCAGCACAGACCTGTGATTGACCCTGGGACCGTCCTGCTCTGCATGGCTCAGTTGTTCGCTGGTTTAAACCCGCCGAGCCATCAGTGGAGCCAGTCGCATCTCTTTCCGAAGAGCTGCTCTCTGCAGCTTCACATCCATCGCTCGGCACAGCTTTCTGTTCTGGGAAATCAATACAAAACACTGTGGTGTGTGTGTGTGTGAAGCACAGACAAAGAACAGAACAATGACTACTGCAGTAGGAAGCCTTGCATTTCAGCCGTCACCCTCACAAGCACACTCACCGTTTGCTAAAGATAGGATTGCTGCTCACTTGTGCAGATCACAACAGCGCGCAGGATGACACCACTGTGTCGGCTTGACTGCAGCCTTGACACTAACACATCACAATGGCTCGGCAAGTCGATGGAAATAAGTGTGAGTTCAGCTGTTAACCCTTAATGCAACTAAAACACTCCAGATTTTCCACTATTTACTTCCCAACAGTATATTCTGTGAAGCGCTTTGAGACATCTTGACAACGTGATAAGGCGCTAAATCAAATGCAAGGATTATTATTATTATTATTACCATATTGGAGCACCAGCCTGAGCTCAAGACCCAACAAAGACCCGCATCTATCTGACCCAGAAGTATAAGATAGTGACGAAGGGATCTTAAAGAGAATTTAGGAAGGATTACTTCACACAGAGGGTGGTGAGAATGTGGAATTCGCTGCCTGAAGCGGTGCATGAATCAGATCGTGTAGATGCATTCAAGAGGAAGCCAGACCTTCACAAGAGAATGGAACTGACATGTATGGTAGGGAGTAAAGAGTGGTGGAGGCTGGTGTGGAGTATAAACACTGGCACGGACTAGTTGGGTTGAACGTCCTGTTTCTTTGCTGTACATTCATGTAAATCTGTGTTCTGGGTGTAGAAATCGGCCATTCTACACTACAGGTGTCTTCACTCAATGTAGCATGATTACACAGCGATCTCAGTCAATAATAATGATAGTTTAATAATGCAGCCTTTGCCCTGTTGGGAGCACATGGGGTTACGTACAGGTACGGGATTCTGATCAGTAAATGTACATGCTTAACGCGGGGCTTAATGATAGAGTCAGGAGCCTGTGCCTTTCATGCAACACTTGTCCTCATTCCTGATTGAAAAGGAAATGTCAGCCGACTGCAGCCACCAGCCTCCTCCATCGCGATTCTTTTTCCACTCACTGAATCTTTTAGCGAGGGATGCCTTGAATAATTGATCTGCCTTTTCTCTTGTTCGGAGCCTCTCGGCACGGCTGAGCGGACAAAGAGATGTTCCTGCTTCGCATCCATCGAGATAGCTCAGAATGTGTAGTGCTATCCTTGGTTGTCACTGGGGAACCACAGCTTCTTTCCTCACTTCCTGTAGCCTGACATTTGAAAGCTTCTCAAACACAGTAGAGAGGTCTGAAAATCCACCTGGTCTCAGCCTGTGAGACCCATTTTGTAGTTAAGCATACGATTGTACAGAATTCATAGAATCATACAGCACAAAAGGAGGCCATTCGGCAGATCGTGCCTGTGCCGGCTATTTGAAAGAGCTACTAACCAGTCCCACTCTTACCGCGTAGCACTACCATTTTTTTTTCTTTTTGAGTATCTATCCAATTCCCTTTTGAAAGTTATTGTCAAATCTGCTTCCATCACACTTTCAAGCAGTGCGTTCGAGAGCATAACAACGATCTGGGTGAAAAAAAATGTCTGGTCTCCTGAATAATAATTATTGTATTTGATATAGCACCTTATCAAGTCTTCGAGACGTCTCAAAGCGCTTCACAGTAAAGTGTAGTGTGTGTTTTGTGGGTGAAACTCAGCAGCCAATTGCGCAGAGCGGAGTTGCACAAACAGTCATGGATTGAGTAACCAAATTATTATTATCATAAGGTGACCAAAAGTCATGATACCATTATAAGGTCTAATCAGTCTTAAAGAAATGATACTTTTATTATTTTTCTAGATAATAGCGTACTATCACAAGTTTTTGGGTCTTACAGAGATATACACGATATTAAATGGAATAGGGAATACTATCAGATCAGGTCTTTCAAGAAATGAGATAGGTTTCTGTTAGGAAATAATATCTCGGGATACAGTGTATAGTTTGGGACATGATTCGATTGCCAGGATGGTGGAAGCTGAACTGGATGGACCTTGTTCCGTGATCTTCTTTTGTTTAGCAAATTCTTATGTTCTTATGATCAGCAAGTCTTTTTAAAAATCTGGGATTTGTGTGAGCCCGAAACTAAAAATATTACAAGAGATGTCTCAGAGGGGAAATCATATAGAAGTATATAGTAATATTATATACAATTGTATATTTTATGGGCGAAATGCAGCAACAGTGTCCCACAAACAACCGTGGAATTTGATACTAAGTGGAAAGATGGTAAAATATCACATCCCTTCAAGGCAATCCTTTCAAACTAAGCTTTGTGCTGCTTCTGAAATGCAAAGTATATATATTTATTTTGAGCATGAGATCAATGGGATTAAACACGTAAACTTGACTACATTGCAGCAAGTGAAATGATGAGGTTTGTGCCCGATGGATTATGCTCAGAGAGCAACTGATCCTTTGGTTGAAAAGTATTTTTGTCACACTTATCATTGAGCAAATATTTGTGTTCTGAGGACTTAAGATGACAACGGAACTACATTGAAGAGGTTGTGAAAAACAAACTATGGTTTGCCGACTACCGAAATAGGTGTCTTAAGCCCTGAAACTAGGCGATCAGTATGCACTGAAACCTCACTATTCCTTACCAAATCCAATGTGATAATTGTCACCTCAGCGAAGTGATGAAGAAAATATTAGGAGGACATTTTATGATTTCTCTGGATCTTCTTCGCTACAGAAGAAGAGATAGCTGGTCGGGGGGAGGGAAGGAGAAACAAAGGAGGGTATTTAGTGCAGACTTTACAATAAATATTTGGGAAAAAATAGATCAATAAGAGGGCCATTGAGCATTAGGCCCAGATGAAATGGAGCTGAGAAAAGTGTGAGGAATGCCAGTGTCTGAAATCTCGTGTGTGGTTCTCTGGAGAACAGGAGTATTACCAGCAGATTGGAGAGTAATGAATGCCATTTCATGCCGTGAGAGCAGAGGTGTGTGACCCTTCCCCAAGGAATATAGGCTTCTCAGCTCAACATTAGATTTGTTTAGGAGGAACTATCGTTTGGGAAATTGTAGTAACTTAGAATAAAGACGGCAATTATTCAGGGAAATCTGACCAAAACAAACTACAAGGCAACGTGGATTCATTAAAAAGTTTTCTTTATTTTATGTCTGTAAATTTACCGACCCGCGGAATACCAAACAAAATTCATCTGACCAGAATAATCCTGTACCGTTCTTCTGCCTAAAATGATATCTGGATCTGTTTGGCGGAATTTCCAAACCAAAATGGTTGCTTTCATTGGGGGCAAAGCTGACAAAGTCCAAATCGAAGGCTGGTGGGATATTGTGCTCTTGCTCTTCCAGAGTTTGGTTTGCCAGTCCCCCTCCACCCCAACAATCTTTGCCAATTTGGGATTTGAGGTTTGCTGGTCACCCACATCACCATGAGTTTCCCAATCCGATATTTGTAAACCAGAAGGCGTTACATAGTCATGAATTAGGCAGATTACACTCCAATGTCTTAATCTCAGGGATAGAAGCATAGAAGTACTGTGCAAATCCTTGACCATCCAGCGCCTTGGAACGTCCTCCCGAAATGAAAGGCGCGAAACAATGTGATTTGTTGTTGTATTTCGAGCAATCAGGATCAAGTAATCCTGATGATGTCTCCTAGAAAAAAAACCAAGAATGGCCTCATCCCTTGCTGGAGAATCAGCTACCTTGGCACAAAGCCAGGAGAGTGAGTGATACCCGTTTAGTGTTACTCTCTGTGGCGTCTCTCTTACTCCTGTCTTCAAGCTTTTACTCTATAGTCACTTTGCATTACCGTGGGTGATTCTGCTCTTGAAAGCAGAGCAGGGTACAGAGCAAGTGACAGCTCATCATTTTTTTCTCTTGTAAAACGTGGGTAGAAAACCAAGTCAGCAAGTCCGGTCACTGCATGCAGTTGTTTACGCACATAAATATTTCAACACATTTCTCCTACGTGATCAAAATTTTCCTCCAACTGCTGGGATGATCTGAACTGACACCTGCAACTTAGGCCATTTCTTAGGCTCGGGAGGTTACTTGCATTTGCTGACTCCTTGATGTGAAGGATGATAATGTAAGGCCGGGAGCATCATAGAACTGTGCGGAAGCTGGAAAATTATGACTAGGTATCAAATGCATTCTTGCGGTAGAAGGGGTGGGAAGGCTATCTTCAAGCATGCATGTATCTTTAAGCAGAGGTTCTCTGGATAACAATAGGAGTGGTACCACAGCTGCTTTTCCTACACAACTCAGGTGCACTGTAACAAAGTGATCAACTTGGTTTCGAAGTGCATCTATAATCAACTTTCTAGACTGTGTTGCCTGGTGCTGCCTGTGCTCATTAAGCCATTGGGGCAGATCATTTTAGTGTTTACAGCTTTTTTGATAAATCCTGGTACATAAATTGCACAGTAAAGTTTTGGGAAGAATAATGCAGTAAAATGGGAGCTCATATGCATTCATTTCTAATTGGATTCCTTAATAAGGAGATCAGAAAAGTACATCACATTGACCAAACTTCTGACAATGCAGTGCTGTTGGCAGGACTATGTGTCTTTCAGACATTGACCTTAAGGTCCAGACTTGGGGCTTGAACCCTCAACTTTCTAACCCAATGGTAAGAGTGCTGCAAACAGAGCCAAGCTGATACAAAAACATGAACAACAATTGTTATGTGATCACCACTGCCCCACCCCACCATTATTTTGTAGGTTATATTCCCGATCTCCGTTCACAACGCTAAAAAATCGAAATCCACTTCCTCCGAACCCATCATTTCAGGATCCAGAAATTCATTGCCTAGCTTCCTCCACCAAGGCCATCGGATGAACTGTAGGGTTGAGTTATGGGACTGTCTGGCTCGGGTGGCTACAGGGACAGACTTGCTGTGAAACACCTGCCCGTTCTCCTTGGTAGCGTTCTTCAAACTTGGAGCATCTGCAAGTGAAATTGAATGGAAGTAGAGGATAGCCAGCAAGATACAAGGCCAGCGTTTGAATTGAACAATGTTAGATCTTTAGCATTAACAACAACTTGCATTCATAAAGCGCCCTTCACGCAGGTTAGCTTCCCAGAGCCCTTGACAGTGCCAGAGCACCAACTGAGCCGGGAGGAGTTGAACGTAGGAAGATCTTAAGGCCCAATCTGAATCATAATAATCCTTGCATTTGATACAGCACCTTATCATGTCTTTGAGATGTCTCAAAGCGCTTCACAGGATATACTATAAAGTGAATTGTCTGTATATCTTGACTGTATCTGAAGATGGGGAAGGAAGGAGCAAGGCGGAGGGATAGATTAAAATACTTCCTTGAAACTGATTATTGGATGCTCATTAGTATTTAGAAACAAAAATTAGACGATTCGTTCTGAAGTGTAACTGGGAACATTGATGAAAGAACTCGCAATTTTAGCACTGAAAGCTGAAATGCCTCAATTTACCTTAAAGCAGTTAAGTAACTCTGTGGCCTAATGACTGTTTTGCGTTCAACAAGGTACAACAAACAACCATGAAGCGACTGCCCAATTTATTTCTAGGATGGGTTTTTAATGTCCACCTGAACAGGCATCCATTTTGTGATGGATGTTCATGATTTAGATTGGTGGATATCTCTGTAGCTGACTTACTGATCAGCAGCTCGATGTCAGTGTTGATCTGGGCGAGCACTGCCTCCCGATGCTGTTCTGCCTTTTGTTCAAAGTTTCTCTTCAGAAGATATTGGCCCAACATCTCCTGAGCTTTGGAATGTAGCTCAATCCCTCTCTCCTGTGACATTGGGGGAGCCTGAGGACAGAAATTAGGAAGGGTTTACTATCTGAACAACAACAACTTGCATTTATATAGCGCTCTTCACGTGTAACTGCTTCTCAGAGCCTTTTCTCCACCCAAACCCCAATTGACCTATCTCACTGCTTGATGTATTGGACACTCCTGGGTGAGACAGGTCAAAGGAAGATTGGGTAGAGAAATGCACAGAGCTACTATTTGAACAAGTTAGGTATCGAGGGGGAGAGAGGAAGAGAAATAGAAATTTCTGAAGTGCTGACATATTAAAAACCACCAAAAAACTGTAAACTAACGCAGCGATTCCCCTGTGCTTGGAATGTCAGTCTGAACTGCACGCTCAAGTCCTGGCCACAATCGTCTGACTTAAGAGGTCAGAGCGCCACCAATGGAGGCAGGCTAAAACAAACACCTTGGAGTATCTTAAAATCAATATTTTAAAAAAGTCCCTGGCAGCCTCCTATCTCCTGCTCCATGCTGGGAGCTGGCTCATTAGTTTGCAATTTCGATCATGATGTAATCACTGATCTGAACAAGGTCAAAACAGGAGTGTTGTTCTCTCTGTCCCAGCACATACAATGGCACTTCACTACATTCTAGTTAGTGTTTTCCTCCCTTTTATCCAGCCCCGTATGTTAATAGGTCAGAGTATCAACCTGTTTGGTAAGCATGCTCAGTTATTAAAACAATTTATTTAATGGTTTTACTTTTCCAACTTCACTTAAGGATTTGGTCACTCAATCCACGACTGTTTGTGGGGACGCTGCTGTGCGCAATTGACTGCCACAGTCAATTCACTTTACAGTATATTCTGTGAAGCACTTTGAGACGTCTCAATGCCATAAGGCGCAATCTCAAATGCAAGATTTTATTAACTCTCCCCTCCAGCTGCAAGGTAAACAGAGTAAAGAAATTTGCATAAGTTGGGATGTCCAACGTGAAAGACGCTGAATAAATGCACTCCCACTTCACCGAGCTAGTATGGCACCGTGGTGTTTAGTTCGAGTTTCAACTGTCTTTTAGAGGATTACTATTATTAATTCAGTGCTGCTAGAATGAGAGCTGTACTGCTGCTTGATGAGAAACGATCAAAAATAAGCAGGACACTGAACAATCATTGAGACCCTGTGTGAGGGGTATTTGGTTGGATGATCTCCCCCTTATTAGCAAGATTTCGTTTTTTTTAAAAAAAAGCCTTTTAGAGTGCAGGAGCTATTTAAAACTCTGTATTTTGTTCCCTCCCTGTGGAGAGCTGCCATTTCCTGCCTCCACACTCAGACTGCTGCTCAGCTGCAAGGCTAGGCAGCGAGCAGCTGGGTACCAATTGACAAAGTGTGTAATACTTGGGAAACGTTGACACCAGCTGGGCTGTTATTTGCTAATATGGAGGAATAATTTGCACTGAAAGTGCTTCACTTCTCTCTGTCTTCTCCATTTCAAACCCCCATAGGAATAGGAGGAGGACACTCAGCCTGTGCTCTGTACACTTACTGGATGCATCTTGATTTTCTGTTCCACTCTTTGGCGTAGCTCGATTCGGTGTTGGTCCGTCAGACCCTTTGGTCCCTTCCAAGCGGAGAGAGCCTTCCGCTGGTTTCTACGTCTTTGTAAAAACTTTAAGACCTGCAACAAATAAACACTTCATAGAATCATACAGCACAGAAGGAGGCCATTCAGCCCATCGGGCCTGTGCCAGCTCTTTGAAAGAGCTCTCAACTCTCTGGGTAAAACAATGTCTCCTCATCTGCCCTCTGGTTCTTTAGCCAATTATCTTAAATCTGTGACCTCTAGTTACTGACCCACCCACCAGAGGAAACAGTTTCTCCATATCATAATTTTGAACACCTCTATTAAAATCCTTTTCCATTCTACTGGGGGATAGTCCCATGGGTGCCGGGCATTCTCTGGTATCTCAATCAAGTGGCCATTATTCATGTGCGGGCTTTGATGGCGAACGCTGTTATGATATGCATCACAACCACAGTCCCAAATCCCCTCACATAAATCTCCAGAGCCTTGGCTGGGCATCCATTGCAGCTGAAAATGCTTCCTTCCTCCTCTTTTTTCAGGTACGTCTCAAAATACATCTCCTTGACTATGTTTTCAGTCATTTTTCCCCTTCTCACCCTCTCAGCTCCCACCCTCAGCTCTGGTGCCCAGCCAACGTGAAAGGCGCTACAGTATAAGTGTGTATATTGTATTGCTAATACAGGCATGCAGCTCTTCCCATGCCTCTACCAGCATCTCTCTGCTGGGAATCTGAGCTTTGTGTGTGACCCACTCTGCAATCATCCCTGCAATCATGACTGTGCATTTTGTGGGTGAAACACGGCAGCCAATTGTGCACAGCAGTGTCCCACAAACAGTCGTGGATTGAGTGACCAAATTTTTTTTTTTTGAGGGATTATTACCCCCGGAAAAGCGATTCACAAATCGACTGATAACCAGGTTCTTATTTACTGCTAGCTAAACAGGTGTGTGGTGTAAGGAAACTTGCCTACGGTTTCGCCCTGCCCGGGAGTCGAACTTTGTGTAATAGTTTGCTTTTTACCCCTTAACATGTTAAGGGAGACACTTACGACTCGCTGAATAACAACGGCTGCCCTGAACGCCTGGAGGGCCTGTTTCTGCTGGTAGAAGGCTCTCCGTTCTCTGTGTCCACGCCATTGCGTCTGAATTAGCAACGCAGACTTCTCCTCCTCCTCCTGCAAGTATTTGTCCATCTGACCTGCAATGCAAACACATTCATGACTTGTGACAAGCTCCCATTAGCGGGAAGTGGGATAGGCAACAATGATATTCGTGCTGGAGGTTTCAAATGCTAAGGGTGAGAAATTCTTCATGGTGCTTGAAAACACAGCAATAGTAACCTAGATTCATGAAGGATCAGTAAATACGATCGATAGTTTCATAAAGGATCATTAAATCCTGCATGTTACACTGACCTATGGGAACTCCACTCTGACTGCATTGGGAGTAGTTTTTGCTAGAGAACCTTTCACACTTAACATGTACCAGCACGGACTGATTGCTGCTGTTTTGTTCAATTAGTCACAGATTAAAGAATGAGGAGTTTCTCACCTTTTTATTTCTTTCCACTTGGTTCTCAGAGAACAGTAGATAAATAGCAAATACAATTGGAAAGTGTAATAATATTAATCTTTGCATTTGATATCACGCCTTATTACGTCTTCGAGACGTCTCAAAGTGCTTCGCAGAATATACTGTAAAGTGAATTGACTATATTTTGTGGGCGAAACAACGAAAAAAATAAAATGTAGAAAGTGCAGTGTTTCCCTGCAACATACAGTGAAATGAATCATGATAATACATCTTGCCCTAAGAGTTCAACATGGTCTGTTTTGTGCTGGTGCGAATCAAAATGTATACCTTGGCTCATTCATCACAGCAAATGGAAGTCAGATTGGAGGGCACTGTGCAAGCATATTGCTCACTCATTTGCTCATTTTAAGGATACTATAGGGAGTCAAGCACACTTCATTGGCAACCACATGCACATTACGTGCGGACACATATACACACAGACTGGTTGCAATGTAAATTTCTGAAAATCTTGTTTGAAGCAGTCTGCGAATTCTTATGAAAGGAAATTAAATAGAGAAAGAGAATAATATTAAAAGGTATGGAGAACGAACAGGAAACAGTGGGATTAGATTAGTTGACTCATGTGAGACAAAAACACCAGTGCTGACTTAATAACAATAAAAATCCTTGCATTTAATATAGCGCCTTATCACATGGTTGAGAGGTCTCAAAGCGCCTCACAGAATATACTGTGAAGTGAATTGGCTGCATACATTTTATGGGCGAAACTTAATGGGCAGAGTGACCCGTTTCTGTGCTATAAGGTTCCACGAGTCGAGAATGTGGTATATCTAATGAGAATAATTTCAATAAAACCGTCTCACTTACTTGCGGGTACGATTTCCAGTAAGGTCAGCTGCCGCTGGCGAAACTCCCGAATAGCTCGGTGCCGACGCAACTGTACCTGTTGCTTCAGTTCCTCCTCCGCTTTCCTCTTCTCTATTCGCTTTATTTCCTGCTCCTGTCTCGCCCTGAACAGACATTTTAGGTGATGTCGGGTAATTCTACCATATGTACCATATGTAAAGCGCAGAGTAAAAGTGCCAATATTGTAATAGTTATTTAACACGCATTGTATCAATTAACATAACATTACATTTAACGACCAAATCAAATGGTTGGTATAAGCACTTATTGTATAATACTTTTTCAAAGATTACTGGACTTGGCTGTGGATATACTACAGGACAGACTAAGAACAGATTTACCTGAAACTCCGCTGTAAAGTCGTCACTGCTTTCGGGAGCTTCTTCAGACGCTTCCTTGTCTGGTAAGCTCTCCAGGCGGCTTGAATCAAGCTTGCAGCTTGGTAGAACCTCTGAAAATGTCCATGAATATTACTTTAAATTGTAAACACACTAAACAATGTCAGCTCGAGAATATTACATATCAAGTGTGTGTACGTATATTGTATGGATTATCATTACTGGGATATTGCTCAATTTAGTTATTGTAATAAATAATAATCCTTGCATTTGATATAGCTCCTTATCACGTCTTTGAGAGGTCTCAAAGAGCTTCACAGAATATTGAGTAAAGTAAATTGACTGTGTATTTTGTGGGCGAAACGCGGCAGCCAATTGCGCACAGCACTGTCCCACAAACAGTTGTGGATTGAGTGACCAAATGTTCATTTTTTTTAATCGTAAGTTTTTTTTCAAGGGATTATTACCTCCGGAAAAGCGATCTGCCAATCGACTAACAATTTATTAAGAGTTCCTACGTAATGTGTCCTATCGATACTGGAATACATTGCTAAAACCAAGAAGGTTGTTGTTGATAACGCTACATAGGTTAGTACACACCATCCTTTCTACTTCTTGGGTGGAGCCAGCATACAGGAGATCTAACAAACGACTCAGCTCCTTGCCGAAGCCTCTTCCAGTCCACTGCTTGCTAAGAAGAGAGTGCAATCCTAGAGAACAAAAGTGGCGACAAACATTACACCTTAGCATGGTTCTTCCTTCCGCTTCCCACTTTAGGTCAGAAATGAATCTGGCGAATGGTTACAACAGTTCTAACTCAATGAAGCCTACATGGCAGTCTCTCTTATGAGAGGAGCGCATTGCTTTTGATGGTCTATGAGTAAACTGCATTGTCGTTGAGTCTCTCTGAGTCTCTCAGTTTCCAAGGTTACTCAGAGTACTTAGGGAGAGACTCCCACGAGAAGTGTGAGGGGAGAAGTTGGAAAGAATTTTTTCCCTCATGGTTGTTAATGTGAAATTCATTATTGCAAGTGGCTCCTGAGGCTGGATCAATAGAATCATTCAAAAGAGAACCAGGGTAGCATCTGAGAAATAATTGGAGTTGAGGTACAGATCAGCCATCAGCTAATAGAATAGTGGAACAGGCTTGAGGGGCTGAATGGCCAGCTCCTGCTCCTTTGTTTATATATAATTAAGATTATTAAAGGTTATGGGAAAGGGGAAGTACAGTAATTAAAAGATGACTTATAAAACACAGGCAATAGTGACACAGACTTGTGCGACCAAATGGCCTCCTTCTGTGCTGAAAAGTTCTAGGTGTCTATCACAAATCTACATAAAAGCTTTAAGGCCCAGCTACACAACATGTAAAACCAATCAATTATCTGCTCCCCACTAAGAGACTGCCAAGCGGAAGTAGAGAGCAGAGAACATGTAACACAGCAGTGCAAGGCTTACATGCTATCATCATGTGGTAAAACCACAGTGATAACATGCATGTGGAAGATGCAACATTTGCTGACATATGCCCTGGGATGCAACAAGATAGAGATTAGAGGGAAGTGATCGAGATATTTATAACCAAGCTCTGGAGCTAAAGTAATTCCTTTTTGCATGCTCTCACAACCTGGGCCCCATATTGATCCGTCATCCATTCCCCTCATTTTACTCTTCCCTACTCACATATCCTCCCCACTCCACCCACTTTGATTTTGGAAATTTCCTTTATATTTCCGCCTACATATAAATATAATGTATGTTGGCCATTATCTTTCCTTCAACCAAATTCCTCCCACCCCCATGTAATTAACTGGCTCCTCATCTTATTGTCTGTGAGACATTGCTGGTGAAGAGTTGGCTGCCAGAACGGCTTACAGTGCATTTACTTCAAGTTATTCTCATTTCATGAAGTGCTTCGAAGAGAGGTGATGCCTCATCCAAAGGATGGCACCTCCAATAATGTTGCTCTCTCCCAATAGTGCAGTGGAGTGTCAGCCTAGACTGTGGTCTCAAGTTCAAACAATGGGCTGGAAACCACTGCTACGGATCGATCCAAAATAGTCCTCACTGAGAGAGAAGAGTTAACTCAATGCTCAGAACACCACTTTCCTTTGTAGTCAGTGTAGAGTAAGATCAAAGTGGGAGGATGGGACTCTACCAACAACAACATGACTTTGGTTGCGATGCTTCCTATGACTGGATTGGTGGTAGCGGAGAGCTTGTAGATTAGTTCGTCCAGAACTGACTGAATACTTTTGCAATCCACAGAGAACAACACTGATCTGAAATACAAAAGACATTTACCTTTAAATGCCAGGTTCAATTAACATTAAAAAATATTTCAATTCTTCTGCTGATAACCTAGTTGTAAACATGTTTGTACAGTATACCAATTAAGGCTGATCTCAAATGGCCTATTTCAGACTGGATTTGACTGAGATACAAAAAACTGCATTGTCGTTGAGTCTCTCTGAGACTGCTATCAGTTTGCAAGGTTACTCAGAGTACTTAGGGAGAGACTCCCATGAGAAGTTTGAGAGGAGAAGTTGGAAAGAATTTTTTTCCCTCATGGTTGTTGATGTAAAATTTATTATGGCAAGTGGTTACACACCCTAGAGATCAACATTCGCATGTAAACAGGGTTTAATGAAAAAGGATTTCATTATCAGTGAAAAAAAACTTGCATTTGATAAAGTATCTTTTATTATTATTAAGGATTATTATCTTTCACAGCAGGAGGACGTGTAAAGCGCTTTATATGATTTACTATGAAGGGTACAATAGCGTAAATCCAAAGTGTAAAAAGTAGTGGCTGTAATTTTATACGATATGCTCACTGATGCATCAAACAGTTCCAATCTTCACCCCAAAGTTTTAAATATAGATTAGGAAAGCAGAGTCTAGCATTGGGTTTCTATAGCTTCAGTGAGTTTAATTAAGTAGAGCATATTTAACCCAATCTCTGCAGGCAACAGCACATCACCTGTTCACCCGGAGGATATTCTGCAGGACAGACATCATGATGACCTCAACCTCCACATTGTCAGTGAGGAGCAATTGAAGGAAGTGATCAGACTGAAAGACTGCAATGAAAGAGGAAAGACAACATGTTTGAAAGATGCAACATTAGGGAGCACAGTGAAAGAAGATTCGAGAATGCTGACCAAAAAGCATGGTCAAAGAGGTATTGTACGTGGGTTTTGAAGTGAGGAAGTGAGGTGAAGAAACTTTACTCTGGACCTAGCTTTAAAATAACTATTCTATATTTTAGCAGATTGGACATTTGAGTTATACAGCTTTGTGCACATGATAGCTGCGTTTCACCCACAAAATATACGGTTACTTTACAATACGTTCTGAGACATCTCAATGACGTGATGAGGCGCTATATCAAATCCAAGGATTACTATTATTATACAGTGTATAATTAGTGACTCTCATTGTAAGTTCTTCATCCACTTCCTCTCCAGAACCATACTTTTTAAAGAAACTCCAATAGGTGCACACATAACAACAACTTGCATTTATATAGTATCCCTCATGCAGGGTAGCGTCCCACAGCACATAGAACATCTCCTGCAAAATTATGGGGTTCACATGATTTACGTGGGAAATTCCCCAGTGCTATTTTTAAATATATTGTGACCCATCTGTGCTATTTTCTCAAATTTCAGTTCATACTAGTTGTACAAGAATAGTTGTGTGCAGGTGTTCAAGAGTGCAATAAGAAACTGTTAGCAGCTTTCCATTCTCAGCCAGTTATTAGCACTAACTTTATTTAAACTCCCTATCTCACTCCCAGTGGTGCAACACTTAAGCCATGTAGCAAATAATAAGCCTTGCATTTGATACAGCGGGTTATCACATCAACAAAATGTCTCAAGTGCTTCAGAGTTTACTGTACGGTGAAGTGATTAAGTCCAATTAAACAAGGGAAAGAAACCTTCACGAGAAGCTTTTAATTTTTTAAAAAATAAAATTAAAATTTCTTCTTCACTACTACAATCATTGTGACGATAATAATATCTTACTGGGTAAATAGGAGTAGAATTTATGGTTTCCTGGTAAATATGACTCATTTCGGTACAATTACCATTACTCAGGGCTCTGCACAAATTATGATAATAACTTTCCTGGTAATACACGTGTTGCAGAAATGTAATGCAAATTGCAACTATCAGAACATAGCCTGTGTTTCATGCTTATCTTCTTCTGTGCTTACCATACTGAGTCAGTTGAATATGGCCCCCAAAGAGATAGCAAATGGAATCCACCACAGTGCGGAAATAGAGCATGAATTCTTTTCTGTCATCAGCCTTCAATACAAAAGATACGCCAACATTTTAAAAACGTTTCTTTGAACTTTTTCGTCACGTGAACATTCTTCAAGCAACCAACTGCAGTTCATTGGCAAAAATGGAGCAGACAGAAAGAAAATTATTAGTAGATTCCCACGCCTGATCCTTACACAGAGTCCTTTTGGAAGAGTGTATGTTGTGACAGTCTAAGTTTGTCAAACATCCAGTTACACTCACATTCTAGGCTTACGTCGATATATTGATCACTTAGACAATTTACCTGAGGAAAGTAGAGTAAAGAAAAAATAACTGGTAAATAAAAAGATTTTCACCCATGTCCTGCAAGAACTCAATATGCTATTTGCAGGGCTATGATATTTCTACCAAGTAACTGGCATTCTCACACTGAGTTCTGAAAAACGCAGTTGAAATTGCTGTGCTAATAACAACCCCGATCTTCTCTCCCAGCATCAATAAAGCTTGTTAGAAAATTATACTGTCAGCAGACGAGACAAAAATACAAGTCAACAAACAGTGGTGCTATAAGAATTGTCACTGTATTGCTAAGCTCATTGGGTTGACAATACCAGCGGCAGTGGGGAGCTGCCAATGGAACAGAGTCATAAGTGGAACTTCCTCCAGGCAACTTAACTCAAAATTGCTGCATAAAACCAAGGCCTTAAAATGTAAGATTGTGCAAAATGTGTTAAGATTATTAAATTCAGTTTTATTTATAGAGAAATACTGAAAAATATGCTAAATTAACTGAATTTAAGAAACTAATAAACTCTTTCAATTTGGTCACCAGTCAAAGCTAAGACTAATAGAAATGTCAGGCCTCAGAGTTCCACCATCACCGCCAAAGAAAAGGAACATTGTAAAGAGACATCGCTGGACCATTTTTATGTGCTCTCAGTGGCAGATTCAGAACCCCACTGGCCCTGGAAAACCAGAGCTGGTCACAGGGGAAAAGTTATCAGTGATCATTGGGTAACTTCAGTAACAAGAACAGCAACAGAAAAGACATCTGTTTAGTTCCAAAGTTAAAACCAAGCCAAAAAAAACTGTTGAGGTTGGATAGCATTCATCACTTCACCCTACCCTGATTTTATTCACACTGGACGATTGAAATAATAATAATCCTTGCATTTAATATAGCACCTTATCATGTCTTCAAGACGTCTCAAAGCACTTCACCCTCCCCATAATATTTTCTACTCAAAATAAGAGGGTGAGGGGAAGGAAAGAGAACTATCAATTTGTGAATGCTATAAGGGTGAAACTGAAATGTCTGGCGGAGGAAATGACAAAGCAATGAAATGTCTCTTTATTTTTCAACCATCTGACAATCAGAGAAGCTTGCTGATGCTTCTTCTCTGGTTGACTTCTAACACTTATTATCCAGCTTGGGAATTAAAATCTTTCCCTTCCCCCAATGTTCAACAGAGAATAACACCATCAGCTATTCTTTTAGTGCTGTATTATTTTGTTCCCCATTAGCCTTCCTATTACACTCCTCACCAGTCATCCACTTGAAACTGCCAATACTAACTGTCCAATGATTGTCAACTCCTCATCCTAACATTATTTGGGACGTCTAGAAGACGTAAAAAGCGCTATATCAAATGCAAGGATTATTATTGTTATCCCAGAATGTTACATACTACAACCTTCCTCCTCAGCTCCCCTTTGGATAATTTTTGGGGGGTCAGCTGGGTGTGAAAACCCATCACCGTGCTTAAGAATATCCAAACCAAACTAAGAATTCCATGCATCCCACCTAGACATGGAAACTCCAGAGCTAGATTGTTGGAATGGAAAGCACACTCTCTCCCTGGAGGCATTAAAATTATACAGACACACTTGAATGACACCCAACATAAATAGTACCATACAGTGGAAGGAACACACAGTAAGATACCTTGAGAGCTCTGAAGAAGCGCGCTTGCAACCTTCGTGCCAAGACCATCATATTGTCTGCAGCGGATGGCAGCACTTTGGTGAGAAACTCTTCAGCGTTTTCCTTTGGCTCCAGCCCCGCACAGCAAGAGCTGAAAGGAAACAAAGGACTTCTAACAGCTAGAAACTAAAGTACTTCAGAACATGGGCAAGTACAAGACCAGATAAGACCATCTGTCTAGTTCCAAAGTTAAAACAAACAAAAAAACTATTTTAAGGTTGGATAGCATTCATCACATCAGTATTTTTACCTAGATCTCACTACCCTGAATTTAATCCTTGCATTTAATATATGATGTCGTTGAAATGTCTCAAAGCATCTGTAAAGTGAATTGACTGTATATTTTGTGGGCAAAACCCAGCAGTCAATTGTCCCACAAACAGTGGTGGATTGGGTGACCAAATCATTATTTTTTACATTTTGGAAAGATTCAATAGCCTATCCCGGTTACCTGAGAATATTTGCCAGCTGTGCAGCTACAAACCAACCTCCTCGGATTCGAGAGTAATCGTGTAAAAGCACCAGTATGCAGTATTGGACCAAGCCATAGTCATAAATATCCTGCTTTAACTTCTTCAACCTTCTGCTTCCCCCAGAAGCTCCCTTCAAGATTTCTGCAGAACACACACCGGAGGCGGGGAGGGAGTAAAGAGAATGAATTAGTGCAATACCAGAAAGAAAACTGCAATGAAATGAGATGAGACTCCGCTGAGAATATCAATTTTAATTTGCGTAATTTTTTAAAATCATTAAATAAAATAAAACATGTTTGTGAACACAAACTGCAGTAGCAAAGCTCCATACACAGCCACGAAGCAAACAACCGATTGTTCTGCCGGTTTGTCAGCCAAGACACTGGGAGAAACTCTCTTCTCCTTCTGAATAGAACATGTAATGTCCACCCTGAAGAATAGGCAGACAGGACCTTAGATTTATATCCATCCACAAGATGGACCTCCGACAATGAGAGCGCTCCACAAGTACTGCACTGGAATGTCAGACTAACTTGTGAGTTCGAGTCCCGACCAAGAGCTTCAAACCTCTGACCCAGTGGCAAGAATTACCAACGGAGCCAACCTATAATACGATCCATCCTACAACAATCACAAAGGAAAACCAGGCAATCCGCAGGAACACTCAATTTCTTAATCTTTAACATTTAAATAAGCCGTATGGATTCCGGTTAAAAAAGAAAAAGCTCTTTTCTTACCTTTCAGTTTGAGAAGCAGCACAGGGACGTTCTGATCAGAACTCTCAGCAACCTTAGCCGCTAAAGCAACAATTCGGGAATCGACATCATCGCGTTGCAATTCGCTCATGGTTACAACTTGGGAATAACCCTGGGAATCATCAACACAAAATGAATGTGGCAACTTGACCAATGGAAAACTTCCACTCTCGTGTTCGGAGTATACAACAACAGCAGCAACAACAACAACAACGTGGATTTATATAGCGTCGTCCACCCCGGATGGCGTCTCAGAGCGCTTTACAGTTTCGGATCCCGGGACTGAAACAAACTCATACACTCAACAAACATACGGTACAAACTCATATACTCAACAAACATACGATACAAACTCACATAATACTCAAAGTATCTTTTTTTTAAAAAAAGTAAAACGTTTTTGATCGGTGCTGTCCTTCCGAAGCGCTTTGGGACGACTCGAAGACGCGATAAAGGCGCTGTGTCGAGAACCCAAGGATTATTACGGGGGTCACCAAAAAAAAACACAAGAAACTCCTGATGCCATCTACGCCTCATTGTGTAAAAACAAATCGTCGTATCTTTTAAGACTGATTAGCGCTGCGAGACGCCACAATAAATGCCAGTTGTTGCTGGTGTTGTTGTTGTTGTTGGTGGTGGTGGTGTTGTTGTTGGTGGTGTTGTTGTTGTTGGTTGTGGTGGTGGTGTTGTTGTTGTTGTTGTTGTTGTTGTTGTTGGTGTTGTTGTTGTTGTTGGTGGTGGTGGTGGTGTGTTGGTGGTGGTGTTGGTGGTGTGTTGTTGGTGGTGTTGTTGTTGTTGTTGTTGGTGGTGGTGTTGTTGGTGGTGTTGTTGGTGGTGGTGGTGGTGTTGGTGGTGTTGTTGTTGTTGGTGGTGTTGTTGGTGGTGTTGTTGTTGTTGTTGGTGGTGGTGTTGTTGGCGGTGGTGGTGCTGATGATGATGCAGACACTGTAACGCCGTCAGGGACTGTCACCGGGTCCGGGGACTGTGAAGCGCGCGGCCCGCGGGCCGCCCACCCACTCACTCACAGGGGCGGCCCGCGGGCCGCACACATACGCTTCGCAGTCCTCGGACCCGGTTACCTCCCGCCCTCGGGGAAGCCCCTCCCCCCCCCACACACGGGCCTACCCGAGAGGGTTCCGCACCGGGGTTTAAAGCGATCACCGGGGCTGTTGTTCGGCGGCGGCGGCCTCTCCTCTCCTCTCCCGTCACACGTTCCCGCCGCCGCCTCTCGAAGCTTCTCTCCGGTTGCCACGGGCGACCGTCGCCAGAGCCATCCCTTCGCCTTCGCGCCCGCACATTCGACACGCGGCGACGCGGCTCCTCGGAGTTGACGCTTCGTCCGCGCCGCCGCCGCCGCCGCCGCAAAAAAAAAATAAACAAACAAACGCACTCCACCCGCACGTCGTCTTCCGTTGGATCACCAAACGTTCCGCGGTCTCTTTCAAGAGGCCTATTTTTTATTTAGTTGTGCGAAATGAAATAAAAACAGAAAGGAAAAAAAAAACGAGCAGAGGCGAATCTGCGCCGCGGGACGGAGCGGCGGGTGTTGCGTTCGGCCGCGCCGCGCGACGGAGGTGGTTCGGTTCTCGGAAAAGTTTTTCAAAGTAAATTAATAATAATCATAATATATAATAGCAATATGTAATAATAATAATAATAATGATGATGATAGCGTTTGATGTAGCGCTTTTCACGTCTTCTGGACGTTTCAAAATAAATAGAAGTTTTTTTTAATCTGGAAATCACTTCATTTAGAAAAGAGAGAGAGAGAGAGAAGGAGGTGGGGGGTATGGGGGGTGGAGGGTATGGTGGGGGGGGAGAGGGAGAGGTCTGGGATAAACCAAGGCAATCAAAACAAATATATTAACAATTATTAATTAATTATAATATTTTTATATTAACAATGCGCCTCACCGCGTCGTCGAGACGTCTCACAAAGCGCTTCACAGGTTACACAGTAAAGTGCAGTGACTGTGTGTTTTGCGGCAGCCAATTACCCACAGGGGGCGTCCCCACAGAACAGTCGCGGGAGAAGCGCCGCGTTGGTATGGTGTAATTTTTTTGGGGGGATGGGATTATTACCCCTGGGAAAGGAGTCCGCCAATTGACTAATAAACGGGTTCCTACTTGCTCTCTTTTGCTCCCGAAAGGTGCCACTGGATCTTTAACATCCACCTGAAGAGGCAGAGATGGGAGACCTCAATTTAACATCTCGTCGACGGATTGCACCTCCGACAGTGAAAGCACACCGGGGGCGACCATAACGTCCCCCGGATTTCCAGATGAGGTACTGGAGCCAAGCTCGCCCTGTCTTTCGGGACGTCCTCCCGACCTGAAAGGCTCTCTGTGAATGGAACCTCGCTGTCGTCTGTCGTCCAGTGCCTTCATCCCCCAGTGCCTTCGCCGCTTCTTCCCTTTCCTCCTTCAAGGCCGGTCTCAAAACCTTTCTCTTTGACCGAGCCTTCAGCTCCCCTCTCGACTCTCTACCCCCTCCTCTCTCCCTCCCTTCCCTCCCCTCACCCTGACCATTTCCCCCTCCTCTCTCCTCCCTTCCTCCCCTCCCCTGACCATTTCCCCCCTGCTCGGGTCATGACCCAACTGTGCAGCGCCTTGGGACGTCCTCCTGACGTGAAAGGCGCTTTATAAATGGAATCTTGTTGTTGTTGTTGTTGTCGTTGTCGTCGTCGTCGCCTTGAGTTCAGCAACAAAACTGAGCAACTGAACCCCCAAAAAAATTCTAAAGCAAGTACGCTCATCAGAGAGACACAGCCATTGCTCCCCGACGGGCTTCTCCGGGAAATCGCCAGCATCGGAAATTAGGCTAAGTTTAATTCTTTCGTACATACATACTGTACATGACCTGGATTTGGTTTACAAAATAAGTGTACCCCCCCCCCAGCCCCACCACCACCCCCCAATCGTGCCCTCTAGACGTGCTCAGTAAGCGCTCGCGGGGGGGGAATCCGACCGTAAAGTGGAGTGGCTGCGGAGCCAGAGGCGAGAGCGCTGTCTGACCCCCCACACCCCAAGAATACTCCCTACTATTTTTTTTGGGGGGAGGGGGAAAAAAAAGTAATGATTTGACTCTTGGTTTCCCCCCCTCCTTCCCCCCACCCCCCGGTCACGTGACAGTGCCGACGTCCGCATCACCCGCGCGTCAACCGAACTTGGGTGGTGGGTGGTGGTGGGCGGGGACAGCGGCGGGAGTGGCAGCGGGCGCGGGCCAATAGGAAAGCGCGCGTCGGGTGGCGCGCGGGAGACCGGGGCCCAATCGGCGCCGCCGAGGGCGGGGCGGAGGCGGGGCCCGCGGCAGCCAGCAAGCTCGGTTGTGCGCGCCGGTGACGTCGAGGGGCGAGTGAGCCGCGGGCGCCCTCGGGATGAATGGAGGCGCCTCGTCCAACTTCGACTCCAAGGAGCACCTCCTGAAGCTGGGCGCGAGTTTCGACAAGCAGCCCCGGTGCGGCTTCCACACTATCCGATGTGAGTGTGCGGTTATGCGGCGCCTCAACTTCCCCCCCCCACCGCCTTCCCGCCCCCCTCCTTCCCCCACCGCCGCCTTATCCATAGGTAAGTTGCGCTCCTTGACGCTGCCACGGCTACAGCGCCACCCAGCGGCCAGGAGGAGTGTCCGGTGGTGAGCAGATGTTTGATTGAGTGGGAGTGCGGAGGGCACATTGTGGATCATCATCATCATTGCAGCAGCAATAATAATAATAATAATAATAATAATAATATCTTTGCGTGTGATACAGCGCCTTATCAAGTCCCCGAGACGACTTCAAAGCGCTTAGAACGGTGTGCGCTGTTGCGCTTGGGGCCCCCACAGAAATCTACATAACGCCCCCCCCCCCCCCCCCCCCGCGCACTTTACGGCGAAGCGCTTTGAGGCGCCTCGAAGGCATCATGAAGCGCCGTATCAAACGCATGGATCGTTAGCACCCGTGGGATTGATATTCCCATCGCTGATAATAATTTGCTAATTATTGATAAGGCGTTATATTGTCCACCAGGATTATTATATCAGCCACCAGGATTATTATTTATTTATTCTTTACCCGAGATGTCAGTCAGAATAAGTAGTTCCACCTCCCTCCCCCCCCCCCCCCCCCCCCGAGAGGAATGCAAATGCCTTGTGAAGCTCTTTGAGATGTTTCGAAGATGTGATAAGGTGCTATGTATAGCGCCGCTGAGACGTCTCACAAAGTGTTTCACAGAATATACTGTGATATATATTATATATTTTTGTAATACACAGAATATACTGTAATATATAATATATATTCCCATGGTACTATGTATTGTGTAGGCAAAAATGCTTTGTACCATGGGATCTTTCAATGACCATCCAAATTATGGCATCTCCGACAATGAGGTTATCTCCCAACATGAGTCGGCATCCAGAAGAAACTATTCCAAAGCAGGATTTGCATTCCCCTCTGAGGAGGGAGGTTGAACGGCCTCATCTTCCTGACATCTCGGGCAAAGAATAAATAAATAATAATCCTTGCGGTCGATATCACTCCTTATCACATCAACTGATTGTCTCAAAGGATTCAGGCAGATGCAGTGAGTGTTTATAATAAAAATGATAATCCTTGCATTTAATATAGCGCTTTTCACGTCTTCTAGACGAATGAGTTTGTAGGCGAATGAGTGATAAAGGAATGCTGCTTGAAGGGGGTAGGTAGACTGCTAAGTGGCATTGTAATTCACTGGAAACCAACACAGTGCACTGGTGGGAATCGTTTAGCTTGTGATTGTAATGGTGAATGGGGATGCATGTGGTAAGGAGGAAAGAAAGGAAGTGTGTGTGTATTTGATTTGCGGGGTTGAGTGAGATGTTGCCAATTAAGCTTCAGTTTTACAACAACTTGCATTTATATAGCACCCTTAATCCGGGCTAGCGTCTCGGGGCGCTTTTTACCCTATAAGCACTAAATCTCAAACTTGTGAACCGTGTGTTTAAATGAAACCAGTCTTGGTACAAGCGCTACCAATTCAGATAATGTTTGTTGGATAACCCTTTAAGAGCAAATAGATAATTAACTGGTGGGCAACTATGAAAGAAGACCAGCAAGTATAAAAAGGGATTCTGGGAGAATAACTGTTCGGGGTTTATGGTAGGAGTGTTGTAGGATGTTGTACATCCTAACCCCCCTACCAACATGCCCGCTCCCCCGCCTAGTGGGCTCTGGCCTGCTCCAGGTTCCCCGCCTCGCCTGCTGCACCATTGGCAGGCGAGCCTTCAGCCATTCTGTCCCCACCCTCTGGAACTCCATCCCGCAGTCTTTCTGCCTTGCTTCCTCCCTTGCCTGCTTCAAGACACGTCTCAAGATGTGCCTTTGGTCGCCCTCCCCAATCCCGACCCTCCCCAATCCCGACCCTCCCCAATCCCGACCCCTCCCCAATCCCGACCCCCAGCTCAGGTCCGAACCACTAATTGTCCAGTGCCTTAGTAGGTCCTCCCGACGTGAAAGGCGCTATATAAATGTTATTTTGTTGTTGGTGGTGGTTGTGAGCTGAGAATAAAGGAATTACTTGATACACTTGTGTAGTGGACTGTGAGTCATTTCGTGGGGTTAATTGTCTATTTGCTCTTAAATGGTTAGGAGCCAATAATTATGAAAGCCCTTGTTACTGGGAGATGAGGACATTTTTCTGCAGCAGTTAGCAGTTTTATCTTCAACAGTAGAACCAGAGGACATGGCCTGCGATTGAAGGGCAAATTCAGGGCAAAGATGTGGAAACACTACTTCAGTCAGCGAGTAGTAAACATATGGAATGGGCTCCCTAAGGAGATGGAAACAGAAAGTGTTGATTCTTTCAAGAACAAATTAGATAGATTTCTGTTAGTGGTTAGAGCACTCGCTTTGCAAGCGAGAGACCTGAGTTCAATCCCCGGCAGTCAGGGCGAAACCTTGGGCAAGTTTCCTTACTCCACACAGAGCCTAATAATAATCCCTTCAAAGCCAAAAACAATAATAAATTGGTCATTTTCAATCTACGACTGTTTGTGGGACATTGCTGTGCGCAATTGGCTGCTGCGTTCGCCCACAAATATACAGTCAATTCACTTTACAGTATATTCTGTGAAGCGCTTTGGGACGTCCTCCCGACGTGAAAAGCGCTATATCAAATGCAAGGATTATTATTATTATAATATCTCCGGATACAGTATATAGTTTGGAACACAACATGTCATGGGACTGCCAGGATGGTGGAAGTCGAACTGGGTGGATCTTGGTCTTCTTTCGTCCAGCAAATTTTTATGTTTTTATTGGACCGGCCCAGGTGTTTATAATAATAATAATATAATAATAATAATAATAATCCTTGCATTTGATATAGCGCTTTTCACGTCGGGAGGACGTCCCAAAGCGCTTCACAGAACACACTGTAAAGTGAATTGACTGTATATTTGTGGGCGAACGCGGCAGCCAATTGCGCACAGCAATGTCCCACAAACAGCCATGGATTGAAACTGACCCAATTTATTATTGTTTTTGGTTTTGGAGGATTATTATTAGGCTCTGTGTGGAGTAAGGAAACTTGCCCAAGGTTTCGCCCTCTGCCTGGAATTGAACTCAGGTCTCTCGCTTGCAAAGCGAGTGCTCTAACCACTGAGCTACAGGACTCCACAATAATGTCAGGACATTGAGTTTGTACTAGTTGGATGGATTATGTTTGGGATTTAAATTGCTTGGGAGTGCAGTTTGTACTTCAGAGGGTTTCATTACATTTTGCCATGGTTACAAAAGGGTGGAGTGGTTTGCCTGTCTGACTGACCCTATGAGGCTTAGTCCTGTGATCAGAATTATATTTTTGCAATTATGTTATAATAATATAATACTTGCATTTGATATAATGCCTTATCACATCACTGAGACCTCTCAAAGTGCTTCATAGGATATACTATAAAGTGTGTTTTGTGGGCAAAACGCAGCATCTAATTGGACACAATAGTCCAAACAGTCAGATATTATATGACTTATGTAAGTCTGGCTGTAACTTATACTTGTTATAAGTCAAATCAAGTTCTTCCCTCGTGCTTGAAACTGTAAGTGGAAGAGACAAGTGATCTTGAAATCCATATTAATACAATGTGTGTTTCCTAAATGTGGAACCACAAAGCTTGCTGCGACTGAAGGAAGAACTTGCCACCTTATGTCGACTATCTCAAAGTAACTTCAGAAGTAATTACTATCAAATGTTGTGACTGTTTTTGTCAGCAAATGTGGCAACTATTTTATAAGTATTATAATTACGGATTGATAAGGTGAAGCTACAGAAGTTTCTGTTCGTGGCATAAACACGTAAGGTGTGTATTTGAACCTTTATGCGTTTAGTGTCCTGTTTGGAACTTTTCAGAGCCATTGGTGGCAGTGACAACTGTCAGCCTTGAGATGGAAGCAGTTTCCTCCTGAAATGACAGTATGTGCTATTCACTCACTGACAAACTGCCATTATTGCAGAAGCCACTGATTTCAGAAAATTTTGGAAAGGATTTTCTTTAGCAATGTGACCTGTGGCCCGGGTGCGTGGTGTGTGTGTGTGTGTGTAGAATTAGTTTCTCAGAAAGAGGGCTGGGTTCAAAAGAAAATCTGGCCGTTGGGACGTCTCGACGACGTGATAAGGCACCATATCAAAATTAAGGATTATTATTATTAATGTGCTATTTGAGGAAGTGAGCATCGATGATAGAATGTGCTGTTAAGTGTCTTTTTTTGTAGGGGCTTACGGCTCGTTTCTTAATAGAATGAGATCCTGAGTAGTGTAGAATGTGACCTTTACTGGGACGAGTAATATAATAATAATAATAATAATAATCCTTGCATTTGATATAGCGCTTTTCACGTCGGGAGGACGTCCCAAAGCGCTTCACAGAACACACTGTAAAGTGAATTGACTGTATATTTGTGGGCGAACGCGGCAGCCAATTGCGCACAGCAATGTCCCACAAACAGTCGTGGATTGAAAATGACCAATTTTATTATATTGTTTTTGGTTTTGGAGGGATTATTATTAGGCTCTGTGTGGAGTAAGGAAACTTGCCCAAGGTTTCGCCCTCTGCCAGGAATTGAACTCAGGTCTCTAGCTTGCAAAGCGAGTGCTCAACCACTGAGCTACAGGACTCCAATATGGGTGCTATTTCCACCCGTACTCATCCCAGTAAAAGTCACATTCTACACTAGCTCAGGATCTCACTAATGAGGTGGCCTCCTTTTGCTCCTGACTGGATTTATTTCACCCGATGAACGTGTAGAGATCAGTGCTCTCGAGCTTGGCATTAAACCAAGGTTTGTCCTGTTGGGTGGATGTTAAAGATCCTGATGGACTATTGGAAAAGAGAAGGTACTTTAACAGGAGCTGATTGGGACGATTCCCTGTCCCCAGTGATTGGTCTGTCCTTTCAAGTCCTCCTGAAGAGTTGGGCTGTGCTGAAATCAGCAGTGCCTGGAATACTGTGGACCCACCTGGTCAGGAACTGTGTGTTGAGATTTAACTGTCGCATGACGGTTGCCTTTATTTTCCAGATGATTTCAAGCCTGCGTCCATCGACACGGCATGTGAAGGAGACCTTGAAGTGGGCAAAGGGGAACAGATCACGATAACCTTACCAAACATTGAGGTAAGACTGAATAAAACACAAAATGCTGCAGGTGCAGGTAAGACTGTAAGATAAGACTGTGGTTTTGTCAGATCAGTGGATGGTTATCTGAATGTATAAATGAGTAAGTCTAATGTCCTTATGATGTCAGAGTCTAGGTTCAAATCTATTCCAAGACCAAAGTCCTTTTTTTTGTTAAGTTTTTTCATTCCTTACTTGATTTTGTGATGCTTAAATGAAACAAATAGGGACGTTAATAGTTCCAGTGGCTCTCCTCTCACCTCAACCTTCACAGTTCTGTCCTTGAACTGTTCAAATCATACCTCATACACCACCTCCACTTCATCTCCACAAACTTTATCCTCTAGACCCCGCAACATCTCGCGCAGCGTTCCTCAGGGCTCTGTTATTGGTCCACTTCTCTTCAACATCTATATGCTCCCTCTTGGTGACATCATCTACAGACACGGGGTCAACTTCCACATGTATGTAGATGATACACAACTGTACCCCTCTGCCTCCGTACATGACTCCAGGACCACTACTGTCCTGACAGAATGTCTGTCAGAGATCAAATCCTGCATGAGAGCTAACTTCCTTCAGTTGAAAGTCAACAAGAGCGAGGCTGTCCTAATCGATTCACCATTCATGTTTGCACACTCCACTTTACTAAGCCAGTCCAGAACCTTGGTGTCTCATTTGACCTTCATTTCTACCCCACATTTGTGCCATGACCTGCTATGCCTTCCCCCACCTCTGCAACGTCGTCACTGTCACACACCCGCAGGCCGCCGAAACCCTCATACACGCATTCATAACATCCAGGCTTGACTACTCAAACTCTTTGCTTGTTGGCTTCCCCAACTCTTCCCACAGGCTGCAGATCATACAGAACTCTGCAGCCTGTGTCCTCTCCCGCACTAGGCTCCGTGACCCTATCGCCCCTATCCTCACCTGACTCCACTGGCTTCCCATCACACAGAGGATGCTGTTCAAGATTCTGGACCTCACCTTCAAAGCCCTCCATGGTCTCACTCTCCCCGAACTCTGCGACCTCCTGATCTCCTACCTGCCCATTCCCTCTGCTCAGCAGGCTCCGGCCTGTTTCACGTTCCCCTGCCTTCTGCCACTCTGCCCCCACCCTCTGGAACTCCATCCCACAGTCTTTTCGCCTCCCCTCCCTTGCCTCCTTCAAGACCCATCTCAAGATCTTCCTCATCGACCGGCCTTTGATCACTCTCCTTCCCGCCCCTCCATCCTCCCCGATCCCGACCCCCAGCTCAGGTTCAAACACTGACTGTGGGATGTCCCCCCAACGTGAAGGCACTATACAAATGTAATATTGTATTGTACGTTAAAATCTCCCATGTTCACAAGGTGGCAGCTCGGATTGGAGTGGAGCTGTAAGGAATAGTGAGGGCGAGGAAGGATAGAGAAATGAGCACGTGAGCAACGAAGGAAAAGGGGGAGTGTTCACGAGGGGAGGGATTTTTAAACTTGAAGACCGAGATAACTTTGGGTTTATTTTTACTCTACACAGTAGGTAAAGTGCCATGAAACCTCTTCTTTATTATTGTTATTTAGAAAATAAAGCCATTAAAAAGAGGAGGGGTGGGAAGCAAGCGGAGGGGAGGGAGAATTGGAGAGCGAGTAAGGAGGGAGGTTAAATGTTTCTCTTTAATCAACATAACCCTCAGATTAACTCTTACATCATTTATTTACTCTCCTGCTGGTAAGTTTACTTAGATATCTAGTTCAGAGGAGACTTTGAACACAGTTCAAATTGATAGGGCTTCTTTATCTTTTTCTCTCTTGATTTTCTCACCTTTCCTCCCTCTTCCAATTAAAGCACTGATACTGTTTTCCCTTCGATTTGGGGAGAGAGGGGAATGTAACCCAGCCTCTTTCCATCCTTGCTGAATGTCCACACACAAGTTCATTTTCCCCTGCAGCGTAGTGGTTAGAGCACTCACCTTGCAAGCGAAAGGATCTGGGTTCAAGTTCCAGGCAGGACAAACCTTATGCAAGTTTCTTTACTCCACACACCTGCTTACCTAGCAGTAAGTAGGAACTTGATTGTTAATCAACCGGGTCCCTACTTACTGCTTGTGGATTGCTTTTCCGGGGGTAATAATCCCTTCCAAAAAAATACTAAGAATAGTTTGGTCACTCAATACACGACAGTTTGCGGGAAGCTGCTGTTTGCAATTGGCTGCCGTGTTTCATCCACAAAATGTACAGTCAATTCACTTCACAGTGTATCCTGTGAAGCGCTTTGGGACGACGCGACGACGTGAAAAGGCGCTGTATCAAATGCAAGGATTATTATTAAATCGTTGAAACGTCTCATCCAATGCTGACTTGTGGCTTAGATCAGCTAACTCAACGGTGACCAGGGTTCCCTGGTCTTTCACAGGCTGGACTTCTCACCTACTCAACGAATAAACACACTGAAGGGTCAACTGAACTCTGTGAATGGAATTTTATTACATTTGCATAACAGAACCGAGAGCCTATTTCCACTCACTATAAGGAGAGTGGGGTTCGGGGAGTGATATGTGTTCTGACAATAGAAGTTAAATGTTATTTACACAGGGCTCGACACCACCGATGACCGTCTTCAAAGGCTCAAAGCGACCGTACTTGAAGGAATGTATCCTCATTGTAAACCACGACACCGGAGAGTATCGACTGGAGAAACTGAGCAGCAATATCACTGTGAAGAAAACTAGGTGAGTTGCTGGTCTGGTGCTGCATGTGTGGTATGTGTTGTGCAGAGAACAGAGCGAGCTAGCTGCTTGTAGAGGAGCAGGGTTGGTGGTATGCGTGCGCGTGGTTATTTAAAATAGTGATTCAATCGGATCGATAACTTGGGTCCTTTCGAACCCATGCCAGCCGAGCCCTCTAACCACTACACTACAGGACTCTTCAATCTGTACCTGTATGTTCTTCACCCCCCATTCCCATCCGTCAGAGCTTTTAGGAACCTGACACCTGAGAGGAATATACATCACTCACTCTGCTAAACAACTCCTCCTGCCGGGTTTTCCACTCAATCATTATCTGCTTACATTGCGAGTTTGTACTTGTTTTCTGGATGGTCAACATTCTCAGCATTTCCCTGTTTCTCTCCCTCCAAACTTGTTCTCCATCTTATTGACTCATTGCTCTGCTGAACCTTTGAATCTCACTTGTTAATTCCATGTTCCATGAACTATATTTTGTGGGTGAAACGCGGCAGCCAATTGCGCACCGAAGGGTCCCACAAACAGCCCATGGAATGAGTGACCAATATTATTTGGAATCTACGAGTTTTTAAAATGCCGGCTTGGAATCTCCTAACTACTCATTGCCTTGTTCTGTGTTTCAAAATTAAAAAAGGCGAGGATGATATCAGTTGAATGCTATGTTGTTTTCTTAGGTTTTAATGGAGTAGGTAGGGAGAAACTGTTTCCATTGGAAGGCAGGACGGTAATCAGCGGACAAAGATTCAAGTAATTTGGCAAAAGCACCAGAAGGAGATGGGAATTTTTTTTACACAGAGTGTTGTTCTGATCTGGAATGCATGGCCTGAAAAGTTATTGGAAATTGATTCAATAACAACTTTCAGAAGGGAATTGGACAGGGACTTGGAAAAGAAAATTTGGCAAAGATATGGGGAAACAGTGGGGGAGCGGGGACTGATTGTGTAGCCAGCACAGCCACAATGGATTATTGTGCTGTTCTATGATTCTTTGTGATGCAATTTCCAGTGTTTATTTGGCAAAACTGGTTCTAAGCAGCTGCCTCCTTCGGTTTGTGACATACTTTCTCTTCCCTTTGCTGCTCTGGAAAGTGTTAATGTGTCCTCGGGATCGTCAGCAGCAAAACATTTTAGTGACAAAGGTTCATGAGAGAGACCCAAGAAGGGATGTGAAGGGCAAGTCTCAATCAGATATACCTACCTACCTGCCCGTACCCTCCGTTCCTCTGGCTCTGGTCTGCTCCACGTCCCCCGCCCCAACCACCCTACCATCGGTGGTCGGGCCTTCAGCCTCTCAGCCCCGAGGCTCTGGAACTCCATCCCCCAGTGCCTTCGCCGCTTCCTCCCTTTCCTCCTTCAAGGCCGGTCTCAAAACCTTTCTCTTTGACCGAGCCTTCAGCTCCCCTCTCGACTCTCTTCCCCCTCCTCGCTCCCTCCCTTCCCTCCCCTCACCCTGACCATTTCCCCCCTCCTCGCTCCCTCCCTTCCCTCCCCTCACCCTGACCATTTCCCCCCTCCTCGCTCCCTCCCCTCCCCTCCCCCTGACCATTTCCCCCCTGCTCGGGTCATGACCCAACTGTGCAGCGCCTTGGGACGTCCTCCTGACGTGAAAGGCGCTTTATAAATGGAATCTTGTTGTTGTTGTTGTTGTTGATATCAGGCAACAGTTGTTTAGATGGATGGTGATTGATATACGATTACCAGGAAGAGTGATTGAGGTTGGGTCACTGGGATTCATTTCAAGAAATTACTTGATGCTGTAGGTAGGGTGGGGTATTCAAATACCTCACTGAAGGGCTAAAGGGAATAATAATAAAAATTCTTACATTTGATATAGTGCCTTATCACGTCGTTGAGACGTCTCTAAGCACTTCACATAATGTACTGTAAACTTGCACTTATATGGTGCCCTCCATACAGGTTAGTATCTCAGAAAGCTTAAAGCGAATTGACTGTATTTTGTGGGTGAAATATAGCAGCCAATTGTGCACAACCATGTCAAATTATTGTAGAGTCCGAAGCGTAGTGGTTAGAGAGCACTTGCCTCTCAAGCAAGAGAACCTGGTTTGATTCCTGGCAGGGCGAAACTTCAGGCAAGTTTCCTTACTCCACACACCTCTGTTTACCTAGCAGTAAATAAGAACCCAGTTGTTAGTCAATTGCCGAATTGCTTTTCCGAGGGTAATAATTTCTCCAAAAAAATAATAATCTGTACTAATAAATCTTTCCCATACAGGGCGGAAGGGAGCAGCAAAATCCAATCTCGTCTGGAGCAGCAGACAAATCGCTTGAGCCAACAGATGCGCATCACAGCTAAGACCTCCACTGCACCAAAGAGTTCTCCTCCAAAGGATAAACTGTCCCCCACATCACACATGGATGATATCGAGAGAGGTATGGAGCTCACATCCAATTGTCTTGTCCTCTCGGAATTGGAACCTTATCAAGCTGATATCCTTCTCACAATCTCTTCACCTTGCCCCCTCACTTGCCTCCTTCAAGACCTTCCTCTTCGACCAATCGCACCTCCTACCCAGCACCCTCACTGCCCTCCACCCCTCATGATCCCAACTCCCAGCTCAGGTCCAAATCCTTGACTGTCCAGTGCCTTGGGATGTCCTCCCTACGTGAAAGGCACAGAGTAAATATCATTTATTGTTTTCTTTGTTGATGATACTTCCAACCCCAAGTTCCTGCTTGTGTGTGATATTTCGTTGTGCCCACAATACCAGCTGGGTTTCCTGACAATTGTGCACTTGACAGCAATTATATAGGAAGTGCTTTACATTGGAATACGTTAGAATATACAGCACAGAAACAGGCCATTCGGCCCAACTGATCTAAGTCGGTGCTTATACTCCACATGAGCCTCCTCCTGCCCTTCCTCAACTAAGCCTTCAAGCAGAACCTTATATTCCTTTCTCCCTCACGTACCTCTAGCTTTCCCTTAAATACATACGTGCTATTTGCTTCAACAACTCCTTATGGTAGCATGTTCCACATTCCCACTACTCTCTGTGCGAAGAAATTTCTTCTAACTTCCCTATTTGATCTATTTGTGTCTATTTTATATTGATGGCCCCTGGTTTTGGTCTCCTCCACAAGTGGAAACATCTTCCCTATGTCTAACCTATCAAAACCTTTCATCATTTTAAAGACCTCTATCAGGTCACCGCTTACCCTCCTCTTTTCAAGAGAAAGGAGTCCAAGCATATTCAGCCTTTCCTGATAGATATAACCTCTCAGTTCTGGGATCATCCTTGTGAATCTCCTTTGCACCCTCTCCAGTGCCTCTACATCTCTTCTATAATATGGGGAGCAGAACTGCACGCAGTATCTAAGTGTGGTCTAACCAAGGTTCTATAACAGTTTACCATAACTTCCGTGCTTTTCATTTCTATCCCTTCAGAAATAAACCCCAATGCCTGGTTTGCTTTGTTATGGCCTTATTAATCTCCGTTGCTACTTTTAGTGAATTGTGTATGTGTACCCCTAGGTCTCTTTGCTCCTCTACCCCATTTAGGTTTTTATTTTCCAGGATGTATGTGACTTCCTTATTCCTTCTACCAAAATGTACCACCTCACACTTTTCTACATTGAAATGCATTTGCCATTTTAAATGCCGAATCAACGAGTTTATTGATGTCTTGCTGTAACTTGTTGCCATCGCCCAATTTGATGTTGTCTGCAAATCTTGAAATTGTACTGCTGATTTCCGAGTCCAAATCATTAATGTATATTGTGAACAACAGTGGGTCCCAATACCGATCCTTGTGGAACACCACTGCCCACCCCCTGCCAGCCACCCTCTGAGTAGTTACCCTTTACCCCTACTCTCTGTTTTCTGTTTTGCAGCAGCTTGCTAACCATTCTGCTAATCTCCCCCTGACTCCACATGCTCTGACCTTATTCATTCGTCTATTATGTGATACCTTATTGAATGCCTTTTGGAAATCTAAATATATTACATCTACTGTATTACCCTTGTCTAGTCTTTCTGTTACCCATTCAAAGAATTCGATGAGGTTGATCAAGCCTGACCTTTCCTTTTTAAATCCGTCTGTTTTCCGTTTCCAGATATTTTGCTATTACGTCCTTCAGTAAGGATTCCATTATCTTTCCGACCACCGATGTTAAGCTGACAGGTTATAGTTCCCTGGGCTTGTTCTATCTCCCTTTTTAAATATAGGTATAACATTAGCTATCCTCTATTCCTCTGGCACTACTCCCTTTTCCAATGAGTTACTGTATATGTGTAATAGTACCTCTGCTATCACTTCCCTCGATTCTTTGAGATGCTTCAATTATTATCTGTGAGGCCTGAACCCAAAGTCTATCCCTATCGACATCATCCCAGTGAGCCTCCTCTGTACCCTTCCCATTGCCTTGACACACTTCCTTTAATCGCTACTGTCGGCTGGATTGAGTTACCAGATAGGGTGGTTGAGGTTAGGACACTTAACTGATTTTGAGAAGCATCTTGGTGCTGTATTAGGGCGAATGGTAGGACAATTAACTAGTAAATTCCTGACTCGTTACTCCAAGAGAAAGGGGACTCAGTGACCAGTTATCTAGAGTGGAGAGTTAGGCGTATGTATAAATGCAGAAATAAATGTGGCCGGGTATTGACAGCATGATGACTTAAATGGTAGTGACCAGTTAAGCCAGTGTCGAGTTATCAATTTAATCTGTTATCACTGTAATCTGGAACATTAAGATCTAATGGTTTCTTAATCTGTACCTCACTTGTATTTCTATTGCTAGATCATTGTTTATTAATGACAAGTCCTGTAGTTCTGTGGTTAGAGCACTCGTTATGCAACCGAGAGACTCTGGCTTCAATTCCTGTCCAGGAGAGCCCTTGGGCAAGTTTGCTTACTCCACAAGCCTGATAATAATTGCCAAAGGAAAAAAACAATAATAAATTGGTCACTTCAATCCACGACTGTTTATGGGGACGCTGCACAATTGGTTGCCCTGTTTTGCCCACAAATACACAGTCAATTCACATTACAGTCTATTCTGTGAAGCGTTTTGAGACATTTAGAAGATGTGAAAAGCACTATATCAAATGCAAAGATTATGATGATGATGATAAGTCAAACCAGTATTGTGGCATTTTTTGCAGAGCTGATGGCAGAAGTCAGTGCTATGGACCAAATGAGCAGCTCCGATAGTTCATCCGAGTCAAAGGGCTCTTCCTCTTCCTCCTCCTCGAGCAGTGACGATAGCTCCAGCGACTCGGAGAACGAGAAGCCCAAGCCTCGCCTTCCTCCACTGGTGCCTCCGCCCATGGCTTTCTCAATGCCAACAGTGCCTTCATCACAGCCTCAGCAGCACCTGCCAACCACAGATGCCATTCCGAGCAGACCCCAGGGGAGCTTGAATACACTAAGTAAGCCACTATATTGTTCAAATATTTGTAAAGATTTCAGGAGGTGATGGATACTCCTAGAAGGTGGGTGTCCTACCCCAAGTTGGAATCCAACTTTCGATTCCTGGGCAGGATGGAGCCTTGGTTGAGTTTCCTTATACTACAAGCCTCTGTTTACTAGCAGTAAGTAGGTCATCTGACTTGCGAGGCGAGTGATCTAATCAATACACTACAGGACTATTGTTAGACATTTTTTGTCTTCACAGGGAGTGATTTGCAGCTAAGCGACTCTGGAAGCGACAGCGACGACTGACAAAGCCTTTAGTTTTTGACAATCACGAGACAAAGTTTGTTTATAGCTCTGTAACTTTATACAGTGACCACCATCTGCCACAACACACCACACAGCAACTGCTGCCATAGAAATCCATTTATCATGGAAAAGAAAGATCAGCGCTTTTATCAGATGAAGGTGTGTAGCAAACAAGGCTGTGTTTACATCATTAATATACATTAAAAAAAAGTTCATAGCAAGGAGCAACTGAAGCAGGAAATTTGTCTGGTAAGAATTTGTGTCTGAGTGAGACTGATCTGTTTGAATGCCATTAATGACCCGTCACGGTTGTACCTGTGTTGCCTTTTCAACGCTCTATTAACAGCTTCAAAAGATTGTGCAAGAAATGCTTCTTAAAACGCTCAACATCATGATATCACGTTGGACAGTTTAGAGAGCGCGACAGGGACGTCTCTCTGAGCGTTACATGGTTGACTGCGAGTGTGACATCTCCTGCGGGTGACTCGGGTAACTGGGAGCACAATCTCTCCTTTGGGTGACACGGACATATCTCAGGGAGTGACGGGTTCTCCTGTGGGACACGGATGTATCTGTGCACGTCTCCAGAGTGTGACATCTTCTGTGCCTGACGTGGGCATGTGCAAATCGACTAACAGCTGTAGAAATATTTATTAATTTCGCATAGTGAATCAGTTGATTTGGTTTCACAACTCCAGGGGATCGGGTATGGGCTGTGCACAAAGCTCTTTTAAACCATAAACTTCTTTTAAAACAAAATAAAACCATGCAAGTGGACGAGAACAAGAGAATTCCGATGTGCTTGTTTTCTGGAATTTAATATCGGTAACCCACGATGATTGTATTACACGAGCACTTTTTGTCTGGCTTGATAATAAAGGCTGATGCAACTTTGCTTCTCGCTCCCAAGTAGCTGTGAGTCAGTTGTTTTAACAGCAGAGGAGCCTGTTGTAATTTTCCTCTATCGAAGAAAATTCATTTTGTTCTTTGCATCTGTCAGCCTGGTTCATTCAATAGCACTTCAGAGTCGGGAGATCGTGGGTTCAACCCCCTCCCACGTGGGGAATTCAAACTCAGGTGCGCTATAATAATTAGATTTGTGCAGCACTTCATTTTAGGAGGATGTCCCCAAGTGTTTGTTGAACCCGAGTACTTTCACTTGTGAGGCGAGTGCTCGAACTAATGCGCTATCGTAGAATCCTGTAGCATATTGGTTAGAGCACTCACTCGCAAGCAAGAGGACCCGGGTTCGATTCCCGGGCAGGGCAAAAAGTTAGGCAAGTTTCCTTACTGCACATGTCTCTTGTTTACTTTGCAGCAAGTAGGAATCCTGTTGTTAGTTGATTGGCGGATTGCTTTCCGGGGTAATAATCCCTTAAAAAAATATTAAAACTATCAATAATTTGGTCACTCAAACCACGACTGTTTGTGGGACACTGCTGTAGGAATTGAACCCTGATCTTCGTGCTTACGAGGTGAGTGCTCTACCCACTACTTCACAAAGGACTTCTCCAGGTCATGTTGACAATAGCTAGCAAGTATTAGCATAGCTCATTTCACTAAAATAATTAACCATACAGTAATTCACTTCTGATCACAACACTTAGCGCACAAGATGGGGTGAGGAGGAGACGAGAGGGGAAAATGGCCGACAGCTCAGTGAAAACAGTAGGTCTCGGGAAGCATTTGACAATGGAATGTCAGAATAAATCTCTTCTTGATTCCACTCGTTGCGAAGCATCAGGTGCAATATCATGCAATCCATCAAATCAAAATCAGCTCATGTGTTAGTTCTATAAAATGTCGGATGGATCAGGAACAGAGGAAGAAGGAGATGATCTCCCTTTTATAATTTACTTAATGTAAGTTACTTCATCTAACAAGTTGTACATTTCTTCCCTTTGTTGACGTCTATGGAGGAGGTCAAAGAATGGGCCCCAGCTTTACTATATGGCACACATTTAACTCTTTCTTGCTTAATTTTATATCCTTGGTTACTTCCATATGACAGCGGTCATACAATTCATTGCATTATTTGGGAATCGTACAACAAAGTTGATTACAAGCAGTCTTTATCATATATATATATAGCCTGGTTCAGTGGTAGCGCTCTCGCTCACCTCTGAATCAGAAGGTTGTGGGTTCAAGCCCCTGCGTTTCCTTACTCCACACGCCTGATGATAATCAAGAAAATAAAACGATAATAAATTGGTCACTTCAAACCACGACTGTGTGGGACACTGCTGTGCCCAATTGGCTGCCGCATTTTGCCCACAAATACACACAGTCGATTCACTTTATAGTCTGTTCTGCGAAGCGCTTCGAGACGTCTAGAAGCCGTGAGAAGCGCAGTATCACATGCAAGGATTATTATTGTTACGTCAGGACTTGGATTCACATAGTCTAAGCCGACGCTCCACTGCAGTGCTAGGGAGGTGTTGCATTATCGGAGGTGCCGTCCTTCAGATGAGGAGTTAAACCTCACTTCCCGTCTGGCTGTTCAGATGGAAATTCAAGGTCCCGCGGGACTATTCAAAAAGAGAAGGGAGTTTCTCTCTCTCCCGGGGTCCTGGCCAACAATCTCCCAAATAAAATCGGTGGCTCGCTTCCAATGGCTTTGTGAGACGCTGTTTGTGTGCACGGTCCACTGGCTGCCACGTTCCACTGATGTCATCATAATTCTGGGTGGTGTAACTCGGTGGTTAGAGCACTCACCTTGCAAGCGACAGCATTTGGCTTCGGTTCCAGGGCAAGTTTCCGCACGCCGCTGTATCTCACGGTAAGTAGGGAGCCGGTTGTAAGTCAACTAGCAGAATGCATTCTGTCGAGGCACTGTATCAAATGCAAGCACTACCCTACCTGGAGGACACTATATTAAATGCAAGTTGTTGATATTTATAGCTTCATATATTATAACCTCACGTAAATCAGTTGGGACCATACATTTAATATGGCTGATGCACTGTATGAGTTGTAAAACCCTGCAGGCAATTGCTCACAGGAATATCCCACAAACAGTCATGGATTATTGACCCAAGTACTTTTACGGGGTTGTTATCACAAAGCGATCAGCCAACTTGGCTGACAACAAGGTTACTGGTGTCACAGCTTTGAAACGTCCCCTGATCTGCAAGGCTATATAAATGTAACTTGGTGGTGGTTGTATCGCTTAAGTAAAGAGGTACGTGGAGAAAAAAAACACATAATCACTAATTGACTCACATTAATTTATCGTTCTCATCTTTCCTCTTCACTGCTTCGTAGCCAGTGGTTGAAAGTGAAACTTTCAGTCTGAAACTCTGAAGCAAACAAACTGAAGAGAGAAAATGAGGCTGTGATTTCTCTGATCTCTGGATTAGCTTTTCTCTCTCTCTCTCTCTCTCTATCTCTGAGTTTTGCAAAACTTTGCAGTCCATAAATAACTTGGTTTCCAATCGAAGGGCTTCTTGGAATGCACTAAACTGGATTGGCAGAGGCTGGAGATTCAAAGGGAGAGTAATTGAGAGGAGCCTTTTGAACGCACTGGTTGATTTGGAAGTTCCCCTCCACAGCTCTGTGATGGCTTTGGGTTTGGCTGCTGGTCGCTCACTCAGGGCAGCCTTTGCCCCGAATTTCCAGGGATTTGGATTGCGCTACAGATCCAGCGTTCGCGCCGCTGCTGAACATGATCTGGACGTGCGACCGACCCCGCTGAAAACTATTCAGGATCTCCCAGGTTACGGTCTGCTGACTGGCATCTACTGGAACATTCTGAGAGGCTACTTATTGAAAACGCACGAATTGCAGGTAAGAGATGGAAACGGAGAGGGAGAGAGAGGTGTTGGGGTGATTTGGGAACGATACGCAGACAGAGAAACAGTTGGGTAACAAGACAGTGGGAGAGAGAGAGAAATAGAGAGAAAGACTTGGGGAACGAGAACGAAGATTAGAGAAGTTATGTAACAAGACAGACAGAATTCTAGAGAAGGGTTTGAGTGGCAAACAAGTTTGGCGACCAAGAAGCAGAGAGAGAGAGAGAGAGAGTAGGTTTGAGTAACAAGGCAGAGAGAGCGAGAGAAAGAGACACCAAGACCGAGAGAGAGAAAGGTTTCAGTAACAAGACACACAGAGAGAGAAACCAAGACAGAGGGAGAGAAAGGTTTCAGATACAAGCAGAGAAAGAGACAAAGGTATGTGAACAAGACAGAGAGAGAGAAGGTTTGGGTAACGAGTGTTTGACCGTCCCTTTGGTCATCTTTGTTCGCTTTATTTCTTAAGAGGAATGTGCTCCAGTAGATTGAGTAATAATCCTTATATTTGATACAACGCCTTATCACTTCATCTCAAAGCGCTTCACAGAATACACTGTAAAGTGGGCTGAATGTGTCTTTTATGTGCGAAATGTAGATCGGAACGAAATACCCTCAGGCAAGTGTCATTTAATTCCGAAGAATAATGTTAATTCTCTCTGAGCTTCTCTCTCTTTGTCTCTCTCTCTCTCAACACCCCATGCAGGCATGCACCTTGACAGCCAACTTGCATTCAGCAAAGTCCTGTAAACAGCCAGGAGGTCAATGGCTGGATTACTGCGGAGGATTGTTGACCAGCACAGAAAGAATTCTAGAGAATTAGAAAGAGAGGTGGAGGATACAGGGAGAGTTGTGTCAGTGACCTCTTGACTACAGAGGTTACTAACCCTGTGTTAAACTGTTTATTTAGTTTGCGGGATGCTATGCTCCATATTCACCAAACCAGTCTGCAATTTCCATTAATGATATCTGCACAAAAACACCTGAAATTTATTATACAATGAGAGACTGGGGGGCACTCCGCTAAACGTGACTGTTTTGCTTACTGAATTATGCAGAGTATTATGCGCCAGTTGGCAAGACTTTGTTGTCATCCACATGGGGTCAACTTCCACATGTATGCGGATGACAGCCAACTCTATCTTTCTGCCTCCACCCTCAACTCCAGGACCACCGCTGTCCTGACAGACTGCCTGTCGGACATCAAGTCCTGGACGAGGGCAAACGTCCAACAGTGAACAAGACTTGAGGCCCTCCTGAATGGCTCGCGCCAGCGCCTCTGCACCTCAGGCTCTGGCAGCATCAACCTCCATGGTTGCAAACTACAACTCACCAAGCCAGTCAGGAACCTAGGGATCTTGTTCAACCCTCAACTGTCTTTCCTGAACGCCTCGCCCTCTCCTTAACCTCCGTCTCAAAGCCCTACTCTACGACCATGCCATTGGTCACTCCCCCTTCCCCTCCCTTCCCTTCTCCCCCCTGACCCCAGCTAGGGTCTGAGATGCTGTCCAACGCCTTGGGACATCCTCCCGACGTGAAAGGCGCTATACGAATGCAATCTTGTTGTTGTTGGAGTGGAGAAGAGTGCAGTCAGCCTGGCTCGGTGGTAGCGCTCTCACCTCTGGATCAGAAGGTTGTGGGTTCAATCCCCCACATCGGCACCTGAACTCACACAGGGAGTTGCACTTCACAGAATATACTCTTAGAGTGGATTGACTATGTATTTTCTGGGCGAAACGCGGCAGCCAATTGCACAGAGCAGTGAAAGGCCAAAGAAAGGTTTTGCCCTAACCAGGAATCAAACCGGGCTCCTATTGCTTGCGAGCCGTGCGCTCTAACCAATACACCACGGGAATCCAATATATATATGTGTATATATATATATATATGGTGTAATTTTGTGACATTTCATAAGAGAAGTGATGTGATATTTAGGACATCATTTCTGATAATCATTTTTTGTATTATTATTGTTTACATAGACAGAATTACATAGAATATGCAGCATAGAAACAGGCCATTCGGCCCAACTGGTCTATGCCAGCATTTATGCTCCACGTGAGCCTCCTCCTGCCTTTCCTTAACTAAGCCTATGAACATAACCTTCTAAATTATTATTTGATGCCGATGTGTCTCTCTCTCTCTCCCCTTTTATTGCCTCTGTCCCTTCCTCCCACTGAAGATTGTGCACAAGGAGATCTTTGGGCCTATATGGAAATCCCAATTTGGGCCCTTGATTGTGATCAACGTAGCCAATGCGGAGCTGATCGAGCAGATCCTGCGACAGGAGGGCAAGTACCCTCTCCGGTCATACATGCCACATTGGCGAGAGTACAGGGAGCTCCGTGGACATGCTTATGGCCCACTTTGCGAGTGAGTATTGCTTGCAGACTTTTCTTGGTTCTCTGGAACTCCATCCCTGAATCCAACCGCCTTGCACCCACCCCTCACCTCCTTCAAGGTCCAATTTTTTTGTGTGGTAACACTCCAATGCCCTCCCCGCTAGACTCCCCAGCTCCACTACCCACAAAATTGAGCTAATCCAAAATTCCGCCGTCCACATGTTGATCCGTACTACCCCGACATGAAAGGAACTAAACAAACGTCATTTTATATTGTATTGTGCTAAACTCCATATTCCTATCATACTCACCAGGCTCCACAGGCTCCCTACCACAAAACAGATCAGAATTACACAGAATATACAGCACAGAAAGTGGTCATTCGGCCCATCTAGTCTATGCCGGTGTTTATGTTCTACATGAGCTTCCTCCTGCCCTTCCTCAAGCCTTCAAGCATAATCTTCTATTCTTTTCTCCCTCATGTACCTATCTAGCTTCCCCTTAAATACATCTATGCTATTCACCTCAAATACTCCTTGTGGCAGCAAGTTCCACTTTGCCACCACTCTCCGGGTAAAGAAGTTTCTTGTGACTTCCCTATTTGATTTACTTATCAAGATACTCGTATTCAAATACCTTAATTCCCTGGCCCCTCCTTACCTCTCCAACCTTTTTATCCCACAACCCATTGCCTCCGCTCGACTAGCTCCAGCCTCCTACTTGTCCCTCGTCCACTCTACTCAACCGTGCTTTCAGCCACTAAGCCCCGAAACTCTGGAACTCTCTCCCTCAATCCCTCCGCCTGGCCCCCTCCTTAATCCATCTTCTCTTTACGGGGGAGGGGAGGGGAGGGTAATAGTCCCTCTTAATAATAATAATTTTTAAAAATGTGGTCACTCAATCCACAACTGTTTGTGGGACACCGCCGTGTGCAATTAAGTACCGAGTTACACCCAAAGAATATACAGTCACTACACTTTACATTATATTCTGTGAAGAGCTCTGCGACGTCTCATCAAATGGTGGGGGGGGGGGGGGGAGCGAGGATTTTGCATGTCATAATCCATCCCTCAGACTGTGGTTCAAGCAAGAGTGTCACTACTGCGCAGATCGTCAATAGAAGCAGTTGTGTGTGAATGTTGCTTGGCTCCAGGTACGGGCTGAAATGGTACCAGATGCGCAGGATGCTGAACCCCAAGCTGCTGCAACCGAAGGCGGTGATAAACTACGCCCCGGCCATCAACGAGGTGGTCAGCGACTTTGTCAAAAAGATCGAGAGACTGAGAGAGAGCCAGGGAGACGGCGTAACAGTGAAGGATCTCTCCAACGAATTGTACAAGTTTGCTTTCGAAGGTACCTACATAATAATCATAATAATCCTTGCGTTTGATACAGGTGGGGGTGGTGGTGTGTTGGTGGGGGGGTGGGGAGGGGGCATGGAGTAACTTTAAGTGACCTAGTAACGGATTTTGTCTCCGCGCTCTCCACAGCGATCACTATGGTGCTCTTTGGGACGAGGATTGGATGCCTGGCGGATAACGTGCCCCAGGAGACCCAGAACTTCATCAGTGCCGTGGGAGAGATGTTTCACCTCTCAGCCATTTTGATCTTCTTCCCCAAAGCCATGTGGCCATACCTGTCCATTTGGAAGAAGTTTGTGAAGGCCTGGGACTATCTGTTTTTTGTGGGTGAGGCGCTGTGTTACTCACTATTCTGATCCCGTTCCACCCACCCCACTATCATCCACCCATCCCCAAATCCAGGGAGAGCTCTTGTTTTTTGGTTCGCCAGGGGGTGGGGTGGGAGAGAAACAGAGAGAGAGAGAGAGAGAGAGAGAGAAACAAAGGGAGAGAAAGAGAGTTAAACCATATTCTTAGTCACCTTGTCCATGAGTTCATAGCTGAGAAAGAGTGAGAGAGGGAAAGAGAAATCGAGAGAGAGACAGAGAGGGTGTGAGAGAGAGAGAGAGAGAGAGAGAGAAAGAGAGAGAGAGAGTGAATAATCCTTGCATTTTGATATTGCATCTTATCACGTCTTCTAACGTGAACAAAATCCCAACGTGAGTGAATCCAGCTTGTTCCTTTCTGCTCTTTCCAAATGTTACAGCCAAGAAACTGGTGGACAAGAAAATCGCCCAGATCGAGGAGTGGAGAGCTCAGGGGCTGCCACTGGAGGACGGGTATCTCATTCACCTCCTGTCCAACAACAAAATGACCCCCATCGAAATCTACGGCAGCCTGACTGAGCTCTTGTTGGCCGGCGTGGATACAGTAAGATCCTTAACCTCCTCAATACAAGCCGTCAGTTTCTCCCAGAAAAGATACACAGTCACTACGCTTTACAGTATACCCTGGGAACTGCAGTGAATGTCTCAACAACAACAACAAATTACAATCAGCGATTTGGACCCGAGATGGGGGTTGGGATCAGAAGGGGGTGGAGGGTAGTGACCCAAAGATTGGTCGAAGAGGAGAGTCTTGAGACGCATCTTGAAGCAAGCGAGGGAGACTTCTCAAAGACCTGATAAGATACTAAATCAAATGCAAGGATTATCATTGTTATTATTCTTATTCCTCCTAAACCTCGCTGTGTTTCAGACGTCCAACACAATTTCCTGGGCGCTGTATAACCTGGCACGAGAGGCCAGTATCCAGGATAAGCTGTACACAGAGATCTCAAGCTTGCATCCTGGGGAACAGATCCCCACCACCAGCGACTTCAGCAAAATGCCTCTGCTAAAGGCCACCATCAAGGAGACACTGCGGTAAGACCAGGGGCTCGGGGGGGTGGAGAGAGATCCTCACGCTATTAGTAATAATAATAGTCTTCGAGTCGCCTCAAAGGGCTTCACAGAATATACCGTAGAGTGAATTCACTGTATGTTTTGTGGGCGAAACGCGGCAGCCAGTTGCGCACGGCAGCGTCCCAATCATGGATTGAGTGACCAAATTATTATTTTTTATAAGGAATTATTAACCCCAGAAAAGCGATCCGCCGATCGACTAACTTACCACTGGGTAAACAGAGGAGTAAGGAACTCTGCCCAACATTTTGCCCTGCCATCTCTCCCCCACCCCCGGAATCAAGCACAGGTGTTTTGCTCGTTGGGATGTCCTCCCGAAAGATGCTATCTAAATACATATTGTTGATTGTCAAGGTTGGGATGATCTGGAACTCACAACCCTTTGAACCCAAGGACTAACAACCGAGACAGGCTGACATTTCGGCTTCTCCCGTGTTGTTGGTAATGATGTGAAGCTTTCGGTTCATTACAGGATGTACCCAGTTGTGCCTGGGAACGCCCGGGTCACAGTGGACAAGGAGGTGGTGGTTGGAGATTATTGTTTCCCTCAAAACGTGAGTGAAATTTACAGCAAAGTATTACAGAATGAATGATACGATTTGGGCTGAAGCAGACAGCCCACACACCACCTCCCCATAAATTTACTCCATTAGAGTTTCTTGAGGGCAGAACCTTCCAACGCAACTGTCTCACAAATCTCCTGCAGATTGCCCGGGAATCAAACCTGGCCCCTCTCGCTTGCAAGCGAAGGCGCTAACTGCTATGCTACGAGACTCCAATATACTGTAGGACATACTGTGGATTTTGTGGGCAAGAGATTGAGATGAGATCGAATGGGTTGAACCACTGTTGTGATTGTTGGGGTGGTGGGGGCGCGTGGGGTGGGATGAGGGAGAGCGATAGCCGCGACAGGCACTAATTCCCGTTGTCCAACACAGACCCTCTTCCACTTGTGCCACTACGCCGTCTCGTACGAGGACTGTAACTTCGCGGAGCCTCAAAGATTCAAGCCGGAACGCTGGCTGGAGAGCAAGAAGCAACATCCCTTCTCCTCCATCCCGTTCGGCTTCGGGTTACGGACCTGCATAGGCAAGCGAGTGGCCGAGCTGGAGATGTACTCTGTGCTAAGCACGGTAAGAGACACAGAAGCCTGTGCGTTGGGAGACTTCCTCTTTAATAGATACCTGGGACTTAAGGGACTTCCCTTTTAATAGGTACCCGCCATACTTAAAGTCCACTTCATAGAATGATAAGAGTCTTACAGGACAGAAGGAGGCCATTCGGCCCATCGTGCTTTTTGCCGGGCGCTGTGTAAATGTTACGTCAACACTATTGTTGCTTCTACCACCCTTTCTGGCAGGAACTTCCAAACTATAACAACTCTGGGTAAAAAAATTGTATCCTCAGCTCCCCTCTGGTTACCAACCCACCCGCGGTGGAAACAGTTTCTCCCCTATCTACTCTTATCAAAACCCCTCATAATTTTGAACATCTCGATTAAATCTCCCCTCAACCTTCTCTCAATGTCAACAGCTATTTTTAATTGACAGTTAATCCTGTCTCTCTTTCTCTCTCTGTTATACGTGTAGCTGATAAATCGCTTCGAAGTGAGGCCGGATCCTTCCAGAAAAAGAATAACGGCGAAAACCAGGACACTGCTCTGCCCAGGCGACACCATGAACCTGCAGTTTATTGATAGGAGATAAGACCATAGGAGCAGTAGGCCATTCGGCCCCTCGAGCCTGCCCACCATTTAATAAGATCATGGCTGATCTTCTAACCTAATTCTATTTACCCGCCCTGTCCCCATATCCCTTAATCCCTCTATCCTTTAGAAATCTATCAATCTCAGTCTTGAATATGGAATCAACCTCGTGAATCTAACCTGCACCCCCTCTAAGGCGAGTATGTCCTTTCTTAAATGTGGTCTCACCAAGGCCTTATACAACTGCAGCAAGATTTCCCTACTCTTGTACTCTAACCCTTTTGCAACGATCACCAACATGGCATTAGCCTTCCTAGTTGCTGCTGCACCTGCAAACTAACTTTTTTATGACTGATGTACAAGGACACCCAAATCCCTCTGAACACTAACACTACCCGGTCTCTCTCCCTCTAGAAAATAATCTGCTTTTCTATTTTTACTACCTAGGAGAATAACTTCACGTTACACTTTATCTGCCACCCTCTTGCCCACTCACCTCGCCTCTCTATTTCCCTTTGCATTCTTTGTGTGTCATCCTCACAGCTCACGCTCCCACCTATCCTCGTATCGTAGATGAACAGTTCATGGGTTGGAGGTGGGGGAATGGGCCACTCTGTCCCTGACGTCTCAATGAAGGTGAAACGGGGGTGGGGTGTGTGCGCGGGGGGGGGGGGGGTGATTTGATGCTGTCCTTATCCTGGAATCGCCTGAGAAATTCCACAGGAGTGTATCCGTCTGCAATAAACAACAATAAACTGCACTTATATAGCGCCCTCCATGTGGGGAATTCTCAAGAGCACTTAACAGTGACGGAGCCCAACTCCAAGCCGGTGTGGGGGCGGGGTGGGTGGGGAGTGGAGCCCGGTCGAAGAGGAGGGTTTTCAGGCGGGACTTGAAAAAGGGGAGCGGGCAAGGCGGAGGTATTGAGGGAGAGTGTTCCAGAGTTTCGGGGCGCAGTGGCTGAAAGCACGACCTCCGATGGTGGGGCAGAGGGTGCGAGGGACAAGCAGGAGCTGGGGCCAGTCGAGCGGAGGCGCCGGGTGGTGGAGTGAGGAGGTCGGAGAGGTGCCAGGGAGTGAAGAGATTTGAACAGGAGTTTGAGGATCTTGAAGTCGACCGTTCGGTGATGGGGAGCCAGTGGAGCCGGGGCCAGAACTGGGGAGATGTGGGGACGGTGTTTGATTGGGGAGATTGGGGACAGTATGCGGGTGTCAGAGTCTAAATGAGCTGATCTTTTGAATAGTGGAGCTGGGGAGACCGGCGAGGAGGGGGTTTGGAGTATCGAAGCGGGAGGTGAGAATCCCATGCACGAGGGTTTCGGCTGCATCCGGGGTAAGGTACGGTTGGAGGCGGGCAATGTGGCGGAGGTGGAAGCAGGCGGTCCTGGTCAAGGAAGGGTATGTTTGAAACGGAACAGAAAGAGAGGCAGAGACAGTGAGGGTTTGCATGTTGCCTCTTTATTACACAGACACGGCCTTTACTACTGGAAAGCTCCTCAATGCAGTGTCCGCCCCACGAAGGAGTTTCTTTAGCCCATTGCCTCCGTTGACTCATTGTCACGTTAGATCCGGTGCTTATCTCGTCAACATCAACAACAAATGACGTTTACATGGCGTCTTTCAGGTCGGGAGGACGTCCCAAGGCGCTGGGCAGTCAAGGGTTTGGATCCGAGCTGGGGGTTGAGATCAGGCAGGAGGTGGAGGGATGCGTCTAAAAACTGCAACTCCCGAGTTGTCAATGTTTTCCCCTCTGTGAATGAACTCTCTACCCAGCCCCGGAAGGCCAGGATTGTGTCTCTCCGCTCGCTAACTAACTGAGTGGAGAGGGCCATCTTCCTACGACAGCCCTCACTAAAGGTGGGTTTTCGAACCCATAAGCCAAGCGAAAGGCCGAGCCTGGTTCTGGCTGAGGTGTGGGCGTGCTCCCGGGTTGCCTGTCTGGGGCTTTCGATCGCCGACTCACTCACTTCCTGTCCACGAACTGCAGATTGATGGGTTTTCCCGGCGTCAGGAGGCCGTGAGTCTTGGCGTGGACGGTCCCGGTTGTGGGGTCCAGCTTGATCTCAAAGGCCTGCAGAAGCTAGATAGAAACATTAGGAATTGCTGGGCAAAACAACAACTTGCATTTACACAGCACCCCTCAAGCAGGGAAGTGCCCCAGAGCCGGGGGTGGGTGACAGTAGGCACTGGTCGAAGAGGAAGGTCTTCAGGCGCGACCTGAAGATGGTGAAGGAGGAGACGAGCCAGAGGGATAGAGGGAGAGCAAAGTGGCTGAAAGTGTGGCCGACGACTGGCGGGGATGACGGACAAGCAGGAGGTCAGAGCCACTCAGTTACCCCACCCAACCCTACACTCACTCTGGGATCCCCAAGCCTTGGCTATTGCCTACTTAATATAATACCAAGAGCTACCATCAACTGCCTTTTCTTCCCCACATTCAAGCCATGACCGGCTGGCTCTGCCTTCCCTCACCTCCGTAACATCGCCCGACACCACCACTACCTCACCCCTGCCAACCCGCCCGCTCCTTCCGCTCAGCCGGCTCTGGCCTGTTCCACGTCAACAACCCACCCGCCCCACCATTGGCAGGAGAGCCTTCAGCCACTCTGCCCCCAACCTCTATACAAATGTAATCTTGTTGTTGTAATAATAATAATAATCCTTGCATTTGATATAGAGTCTTATCACGTCGTTGAGACATCTCAAAGCGCTTCACAGAATATATTGTAAAGTGGAGTGACTGTAGTTTTGTGGGCAAAAATTGTGCCTTATTGGGACTTGGGTGAGCAGAGTGTGTCTCTTTGGGGGACATGATTTGGCGGCACTCTCAGGAGTTCAGTTTGAGGCGGGGGGGTGGGGGGGTTTATTAAGCGTGGTGATGGGTTTGTGCGTGTGCCAGATACCCATCTGACCAAAGCCACGACTGACCCAATTCCATGGGGAAAGGAAGCGAGGGTTTCAGGGGAGGCTTTACCTGGATGAGAGCGAGGTGAATCTCCAGTTCTGCGATCCTCTTCCCCACACAGCTCCGCACCCCGTAGCCGAAGGGGATGGAGCTGAAGTTCTCCAGTCTCTCTGTGTGGCTCTTGCGAAGCCAACGTTCTGGACGGAACTCTCCAGCTCCCTCGAAGACCTTGTCGTCATGAGAGGTGGAGTAATGGCACAGAGCCAGCTGCGTCTGAAGACGAAGATATTAAAAAAAAATTGCGCTTGTACACAATCACATCAACCGCTCTGCCCACAGCAATGTCCCCCCTACACCCCAGGCAACTACAGGAGAACGAATCAAGGCTGATGTTTTATTATTGTTACTACTAATAATAATCCTTGCACTTGATATTGCGCCTTATCACGTCGAGACATCTCAAAGAGCTTCGCAGAATATACTGCAAAGCGAATTGACTATATTTTTTTCGTCAAAATGCAATGCCAATTGCATACAGCAGTGGCCGACAAACAGTCATGGATTAAGTGACCACATCATTATGTTTTGAAGGGATTTTTACCCCGCCAATCGACTAACAAACCGTGTTCCTACTTACTTGTGGATAAACAGAGGGGTGTGGAGTAAGGAAATTTGATTAAGGTTTCGCCCTGCCTTGGAATCAAACCTGGGTCCTCTCGCTCGCGAGTCGAGTGCTCTAACCACTACACCACGGGACTCCACTAAAGGAAAAAACTCTTTAAATTGGGCAGATATCTGGGGAGGGGAGGTTTTAGGGGTGTGGTCGTGGGGCATTGTCATATAATCTAACGAGGATGTAAGGATGTTCCACAAAGACTTTCTCTCACCCCCTTTGGAATGAAGTAACCTCCCACGACCATGTCCTTCTGTGTCACTCGCCCATTACCAGGGAGAACTGGAAACATCCTGAGGATGATAACAACAACAACAACATGACATTTACACGGCGCCTTTCAGGTCGGGAGGATGTTCCAAGGCGTTGGACAGACAAGGATTTGGACCTGAGCTGGGTGTTGGGATCAGGAGCGGCGGAGGGCAAGGAGGGCAGGAGAGTGGCTGAAGGCATGGTGGAAGAGGAAGGTCTTGAGATGGGGCTTGAAGAAGGCAATGGAGAGGGCGAGGCAGAGGGACTGTAGGATGGAGGCAGCTGAAGAGAGTGGGTGAAAGGGGGAAAAGATGGCTCCCCTTCCACCCTTGCTCAATGTCCAACCCCATCCCTGTAAAGCTGTCTGAGACGTTACCCTATATTGAAGGCCGCTACATAAATAAAAGTTGTGGTTTGTCTTGAGACATTAAGGAGGAAGGAGAGAGTTGGAAGGACTTGGTGGGGGGGGGGGGGGGGGGGTAAGGCACAGATTGGTGTAATGTTGATCAATTTCAGTTTGGCTGCAAATGATGGGGAAAGCTCCCAGAGGAATTGGCCAGATTTGAGGGCAAATAGTCACCAGGGATTTTGGCAGCTCACGGCTGCTGGCCATTGCTGGAGACACACATGTGGTCAAGTGTGTTTTCCCCTTATCTTTGCAACTTAACCCCACTCCCAACCCGGCCTCATTGCCCCTTCTTCACCCCCGCCACCCCATCCTCGTTCAACACCCACTGGCTCCCCATTCTCCAACGGATCAATACTTACCAATAACAATTTTTAAAAGTCCTCGTTTGATCTTTCAAAAGCGCTTCCAATTTAAGACGGATTCGAAAAACATCGCCCCCCCCACCCTCCCTCCCCCAATTTATTCTGATTTTTTTAAGACAAAACACTATGCACGCTGAAACATTGTGCCTTATCACGTCGTCGAGACATCTCGAAGCACTTCACAGAATATACCGGCAAAGTAAATGGACTGAGTGACCAAAGACCAGGTGGAAATTTGGGTGTGTTTTGACCAAATGCTTACCGCAGAGTCTCTTTGAGCACCCCACGGATCAGAGGCAGTTTGGACAAGTCCTCGGATGTGGGGATGGTGTGTGCTCCGAGGTTCCGGACTACCTCCTTGTGGACCGCACTTTGTACGTTAGGGTTTTTAGCCAGTAGGTAAGCACTCCACGACAGCGTGAAGGAGGTCTGTAACACACACAGACACACACACATACACACACACCCAGACGCACACCGGCCCACATACGTACACATGCAGACACAGGCATAAACAACAAACACGGTGATCGTAATAATCCTTGCATCTGATACAGCGCCTTATCACATCGTTGAGACGTCCCAAAGCGCTTCGCGGAATGTTTTGTGAAGTGGAGTGACTGTCTATTTTGTGGGCGTAACACGGCAGCCAATTGTGCACAGCAGCGTCCCCACAAACAGCCGTGGATTAAGTGACCAAATTAGAATATTTTTGAAGGGATTATCACCCCCAGAAAGTGACTCGCCAATCGATTAACAACCGGGTTCCTACTTACTGCTTGGTAAACGGAGGCGTGTGTGTGTGTGGGTGTGTGGAGTAAGGAAAATTGCGTAATGTTTCGCCCCGCTAGAAATTGAACTCAACTCCTTTGGCTTGTGAGGGGAGTGCTCTAACCACTGAGCTACAGGTACCTCCACTGTAGTCCTGAACTCACCGTGTCCACCCCAGCCAGCAGCATCTCCGTCATGTTGGCGTAGATCTCCTGCAGCGCCATTTGCTGGTTGACCAGGAGGCAGGTCAGAAGGCCCCCCGTGACCTCAGCCCCTCTCTCCAGCTGCTCATTGATCTCCTTCATCCTCCTGTCCACATGGATCTCACCTGTTTGTGTGGAAGAGAGAGAGAAAGGGGGAGATGGAAACTGACGACCATTTAACTTCAACAACAACTACAGCAAATTGTATTTACACAGCGCCTTTCATCTCGGGAGGACATCCCAAGGCGCCGGACGGTGAAGAATTTGCACAGTGTAGGTGGAAGGATGACCAAAGGCGCAGTCGAAGAGGGAGGTCTTGAGATGGACCTTGAAGGAGGCGAGGGAGGCGGTGAGGTGAAGGGGCTCCGGGATGGAGTTCCAGAGGGTTTGGGGGCAGAAAGGCTGAAAGCTCGACCGACGACGACAGGTTGGTAAGGGTTTAGCAGGGGCAGAGATAGCGAGGAGCAAGACCGTCCAGGGCTTTAAGGGTGAGGACTAGGAACTTGGAACTGGATCCTCTGGGGGGACGCGGGGAGCCAGTGGAGCCGCGTGAGGTGGTGAATCCTTTTATCATTTTAAACACCTCAATCACTTCACCCTTCAAGCCTCTATAAACGCCGGAGCCTTACTGAAGCGGAAGAGGCCATCCCAGGAGCGGCAGAACTCGTCCCAGGGTTTGGGAATGAAGGGCCGGAGCCACTTGGGAATGGTGCCCGCGTACATGGTGGTCTTAAACATGCTGAACATCAGCTCCAGGGCCCTGATGTACTCCTGCGTCTCCTCGGGGATCTCGTTCTCCAGGCAGCCGAGACGGGATTCAAAAAGGATGGTGGCCACACCTGGGGGTGGGAAGAGGTCACAGTTAGCACATCAAGGTCCGGGGAGGAGTGGGGGGGGGCCTGAAATTGTGCACAGCAGCATCTCAAAAACCACTAACAGTCATGGATTGAGTGATAAATTTTTATTGTTATTTTTTTTGAAGGGATTATAACTCACGGAAAGAAATCCGCCAGAGGCGTGGGTGTGTGAGGAATAAGGAAACTTGACTAAGGTTTCACCCTGTCGCCCTGCCCAGGAATCGAAGCCGGGTCCTCTCACCAATACCCCTTACCTTCAACAACAACAACAACAACTTGCATTTATATAGCACCACTCACAGGGTAGGGTCCCAGAGCTCACCTTCCATAGCAAACCTGAAGAAGAGATTGTTGACATGGCTGATGGTTTGGAAGGGGCCGGTCCGACTCTTGACCTCCTTCATCCTGGTGATCAGATCGCTCACCACGTCAGTCATCCCTTTGCTGTACACTGCCACGTCTGTGGGCTTCATGATCTGCTGCTTCAGGGTGCTACGCATTTTGAACCATTCCTCGCCTTCCCTGGAACCAACAGCGAAGAACATCGTTACCCGGGGTTGGGGCAGGGAGGTGGGAAACGATTGTGCATTGATGCTGGATGGTAGGGGAATGGGGGCTTGTTGGACAAACCAGGGGGCTCCTGGGGTCTTAATAATCTCAACAAGATTGCATTTGTATAGAGCCTTTCACGTCGGGAGGACGTCTCAAGGCGCTGGACAGTGTACAGCATTTCAGGCCCGAGCTGAGGTCAGGGGGGGAGAAGGGAGGGGAGGTGAAGGGGGGTGATCGATGGTATGGTTGAAGAGGAGGGTCTTGAGGTGGGACTTGAAGGAAGCTAAGGAGGGTGCGAGGTGGAGTGATTGGGGGATGGAATTCCAGAGGTTGGGGGCAGAGTGGCTGAAGGCTCTCTCGCCAAAGGTGGGGCGGGCGGGTGGGTCGTGGGACATGGAACAGGTCAGAGCCGGCTGAGCAGAGGGAGAGGGCGGGCTGGTAGGGGTTTAGGAGGTCACAGAGGTAGGGTGGGGCGAGGCCATGGAGGGTTTGTAGGTGAGGACCAGGATTTTGAACTGGATCCTCTACAGGATAGGAAGCCAATGGAGTCGGGCGAGAGTGGGGCAGATGGGGTCACGGAGTTTGGTGCGGGAGAGGACACGGGCTGCAGAGTTCTGGATTATCTGCAGTCTGTGGAGGGAGGAGTTGGGAAGGCCGACAAGCCGGGCGTGAACAAGAGCTTCAGCGGCCTGAGGGGTGAGGTAGTGGCGGAGTCGGGCGATGTTACGGAGGTGAGGGAAGGCAAAGCAGGTCATGGATGTCTCTTGCATGTCTTGAATCGACTATGATCTCTATTTACTGCTGGTAAACAGAGGTGTGTGTGTGTGAAGTAAGGAAACTTGCCTAAGGTTTCTCCATGACCTGCCCGTGAATCAAACTCAGGTCCTCTCGCTTGCGAGGCGAGGGCTCTAACCACTGAGCTACAGGACTCCACACGTCTGACTGCCTAAACAGGACACAGGTGGGGAGTTCGGTTTGACATCTCGCCTGAAGGACGGCGCCTCCGCACAATGCGACACTCTCTCCCCCCACTGCGCTGCGCTGGAGCATCAGCCTGGACCACGAGCTCAGAGTACCCCGATGTAGGGGCTTGTACCCACAACCTTCTGATTCGGTGGCGAGAGATAGAGAGAGAGTGCTACCGACTGAGCCATGGTGTCCCTGAGCCCCCGATCGCTACTCACGCAGATATCAGTCCCGTGGCCCTCCCTCGTGTCTCTCGGTACTCCTGCCAGGACTCCATGTTGGCTCTCTGAGGTGCCCTGCCCTCCGCCCGCAGGACCTGGGCCACCATGTCTTGATCCGCAATGGACACCACAAACTGGGGCCCAAAGCGTGACTTGAAGATCTTGCCGTATTGCTGGGTGTGCTTGAGCTGAGAACAGAGAGGCTTTTGTTTGTGAAGTCGCTGGTGTGGTGTAATGCACACTCTGGCCACCCTTGGGCATGGCTTTCATCAACCTCAAATAATTATTATTATTGTTGTTATACTCAGCTGTTAATAATAATCCTTGCCATCGCTACAGCAACCATATCACTTCGTCGAGACGTCTCAAAGGCTTTCTCAGTATATACTGTAGAGTGTAGTGACTGTGCATTTTGTGGACACAACGCAGCAGCCAATTGCACATAGGAGCGTCTCCACAAACCAGTCCTGGGTTGAGTGATTTTCAGATTGCGCCTGAAGACCTTCTTCTTCAACTGTGCTTAAGGTCACCTCCCCTCTCGCCCCCACCCCCCAACACACACACACACACACACACACAGCTTGGAGTCAGTGTTAAGCGCTCCGAGACACACACAAAGGTGCTGTATGCATGCAAAGTTGTCCACCCTGATCATGGGCACAACAAAACCTTCCTTCAAGAAACCTTGCCGCTCTGTGCAAGAAGACAAGAGCCCTGGTCTGTGTAAGTCTCCATCCCCGTCCCTAATTGTCGGCGTTGATGTTGTTGTATCAGACAGGAGGGAGAGCCCACGTCTTGCCCTCCTCCCCACCCGCAGCCCAGCAATGACAGGTTCTGTTTGTGCCGCCCGGCTAGCCCTGGGGTGGGTTCCAGGTTCTCACTGAACCAGGGGGATTGACAGAGGCTCGGGGTGGGGGGGGGAATCACTAACATCTCACAGCATGTTCCTTGTGCTGGTTAGAGGCCCTCGTCTCACAAACGAGAAGACCAGGCAGGGCAAAACCTCAGGCAAGTTTCCTTACTCCACACGCCTCTCTTTACCAGCAGTCAGTAGGAACCCGGTTGTTAGTTGATTGGAGGGTAATAATCCCTTACCCCCCAAAAAATGGTTACTCACAATCTACGACTGTTGATAGGTCACTGCTGTGCGCAATTGGCTGCCGTGTGTGGCCCGCAATTCACTTTACAGCTTTTTCTGAGATCGACTTTGAGACGTGTTAAGGATTATTATGGTTAAAGATACATGGAAACTTTTTTTTCTCCATCTCTCCACACCCCACCCCTCCCACCACACGCGCACACACACACACACACACACAATGATACCCATTGTGTTTAAAGGCAGAGATAGAAATTGATAAGCAAAGCATGTTGCCTACTATGCAACCCATGGGTTAGCAACAAGACAGCACAAGTTATTATTTAATCGGAGTTAAGGAGCAGAAAAGAAGCTGTTACTCTGTTAGGTATAAACTATAGACCACCAAGTAGTGGGAAGGAGATAGATGAGCAAATCTGCAGCAGATTTCAGAAAGCTGCAAAACCAATAGAGTAATGACAATGGGGGACTTCAATTATCCTAAAATAGACTGGGAAAATAACAGTGTAAAGGGCAAGGAGGGGGGAGGATTCCTGAAATGTGTGCAGGATAGCTTTCTGGATCATTACGTTTCCAGCCCAACGAGCAACGAAACAGCGCCGGACCCAGTTCTGGGGAATGAAGTGGAGCAAGTGGAATAGGTTTCAGTAGGAGAACATCTGAACAACAGTCATCGCAACATCATCAGGTTTAGAGTATTTACGGTTGCAAATGCTACAAAAAGGGGCAGAGGGATAAACCCGAGAACTACAGGCCAGTCAGCCGAACGTCAGTCGTGGGGAAACTTCTGGAGACCATAACCCGGGACAAAATAAATTTTCACTTAGAAAAATATGGGTTAATAAAGGACAGCCGACACGGATTTTGTTCAAGGCAAATCATGTCTGCCAAACCCGATGAAAGTTTTTTGATGAAGTAACGGAGAGGGCGGATGAAGGGAGTGCAGTTGATGTAGTTGAGATGGATTTTCAAAAGGTTTTTGATAAAGTGCCACATAAGAGACTTGTAAGCAAAATAGAAGCCCCCGGTATGAAAGGCACAATGGCAGCGGATACAGAACTGGGAGACAGAGAGCAGAGAGTGGTGGTGAACGGTTGTTTTTCTGACAGGAGGGAGGGAAGTGGACCACATTGCTGTCCCCCAGTGGTCAGTATTGGGACCACTGTTGTTTTTGATGTTTTTGCTGTCCCAGTGCCTTGGGACATCCTCCCGATGTGAAAGGCGCTATACAAATATAATTTTCTTGTTGTTGTTGTTGATCTATATAAATGACCTGGACTTGGGTATAGGGAGGACAATTTCCAAGTTTGCAGATGATACTGAGCGAGGAGAAGTAGTAAACAGTGAGGAGGATAGTAACAGAATGCAAATGGACATAGACAGACTGGTAACGTGGCAGACACGGGGCAGATGAAGATTAATGTGGATAAATGCAATGTGATGCATTTGGGGAGGAAGAGTGAGGAGAGGCAATATACGCTGATGGGACAATCATACAGGGGGTGAAGGAACAGAGAGACCTGGGGGTCATATGGTAAATCTTTGAAGGAGACAGGACAGGGAGATAAAGCTGTTAAAAAAGCATACGGAATACTAGGGTTTATAAATAGGGGCATAGAATACAAAAGCCAGGCAGTTACGATGGACCTTATACTGGTTAGGGCTTCAGCGAGAGACTGCGTTCAGTTCTGGGCACCACACTTTATGAAGGATAATAATAATAATAATAATAATAATTGAAGGATGTCAAGGCATTGCAGAGGAAGCAAAGCAGATGGTACCAGGAATGAGGGACTTCGGTTATCAGGAGAGGCGAGAGAAGATACGATCATTCTCCTCGGAGCAGAGAAGGTTTAGAGGAGACTTAATAGAAGTTTTCAAAATGATGAGGGGATTCGATCGGGTGAACAAGGAGACACTATTCCCACTGGCGGTGGGTCGGTAACCCGAGGACACCGATTTAAAATAGCTGTTAAAATAAACAGAGAGGAGGCGAGGAGAAATGTTTTCACGCAGCGAGTCGTTGGGATCTGGAATGCATTGCCTGAAAGGCCGGTGGGAACCGATTCAATAGCAACTTTTAAGAGAGAAGTAAATAATTATTTGGGGAGGACAAGTTTGCAAGAGCGGGGAAGTGGGGTTGACTTGGAAGCTCTTCTGAAAGAGACGGCACAGACACCATGGGCCGAATGGCCTCCTTCTGCGCTGTATAATTCTATGAATCTATCTCTGATCAGACTCTGACAAAGGCAGAGAGAGACAGAGAGAGAGAGAGAGAGAGATAGAGAGCTCAACTCTATGAGGCTTGAGATTTAATTGTTAAATATCAACTTATTTTTTCTCTTTTTTAAATTAAAAACAAAATAAAATACAATGGGATAAGCACATTTTTTTTAAAAAGAGGAACTAAGTTTTAACGAACATAACATTAAAATAATAATTTTTTTTTCCGAAGTTTTATTCACCCAAGTTTCAGACTAAGATATTTATATATATATATATTTAAATGAAATAAAATATCTCTAGTCTGGCGCATAAAACACGTACCCTAAATCCTTCGTAAACGACCTTTCCTGCTAACAAAATAAGCACATACATAATCAGGTCAAATCTAAACGACTGTCTTGATTTTCTCTCTGTCTTTTTATTTAAGAGAAACGGTTTTAAGAACAAAACGTTGAACAGAAAAGGTTTTAAAGTTTAAACAGAACGTTTTGGAGAAAAAGTTTATAGAGAACAAGTTTAAAGGGACAGGTTTTAAAGCAAAAGAACAACACGTCTTTCGAAGAGGAAGGTTTAATGTCAGCAAAAGTTGTCAAAGNAAAAAAAAAGGTTTTATTTAAGAGAGCGTTTTTTTTCAAGAGAAAAGGTTTTCGCAAACGTTGCTTTTGTGCAGAAAGAAAACTAAAAAGTTTTCACCGGTTTAATCCTGGCTCCAGTTCCCGGTGATCTGATTTCCTTTGTATTACTTACCTGAATGTCATGGATTCTGCTGAATCCGTCTCTCCAAAAGAACTCTATCAAGTTGTTCATCGTGCTGGGGCCAGGCATTTCTGCTAAAGTCTTCACGCTTTCTCCCTGCCTTGAGGAATTCTGCAAAACCATCTCACATTCCCCCACACCTTTTGTCTGCTCTGGCTCTCCTGCCTTGAGGTTAGATGCCAAGGTTCGACCCCTAGTCATCAAGTCCCTTTTGCCTGTAACATTTCTCACCAGGTAAATGCCAAAGCGAGACATTTATCCCCCTTTTTTTTGTCTCTCTCTCTCTCTCTCTCTCTCTCTCTCGCTTTCCCTGGACTTGAATGCAGCAACCCGAACCGAACCGAACCAAACTGTGTTCCTCACCTTCTCTCACACAAAAAAAAACTGTTCCCACTGTAGCTTGTTCTTTCCCTTTCTTCCTATTAAAGCCTCCCCTTTGATCTTCAATTTCACATCTCAAGATCACATTCCCAACTCCTCCCAGAGATTTAAAATTGGCTTATTCCCTCTCCATACTTACCCCCCTCCCTCCCTCTCTCCCTCCCTCCCTCCCTCCCCCATCCATCCACAGAATTGCCAAGCGCGGATAATATACTGCATTCGCTAGAGATTCGCTAACTCTAGCAATTCTTCTGCCAACTTTTTTGACAAAATAGATAGTTGTTTTCTCCTCTCCCCCCTCGTAGAAATGTTTTGCTAGCCTTTGTAACTTTATGTGTGTGTGTGTGTGGGGGGGGGGGGGGTGGGGGGGGTGATGGTGTAAATCACGTCTTCGAGACGTCTCAAAGCGCTTCACAGAATATACTGTAAAGTGAATTAACTGTGTGTTTTGTGGGCAAAGTACGGCAGCCAATTGCGCACAGCAGCGTCCCCGCAAACAGTGGTGGGTTGAGCGACCGCATTTTTCTTGGGGGGAGGTGGGGGGGAATTGTCGGCCAGGACACAAGGGTAAATCTCCCACAGCCAGGGATTGAGGAACCAAATTATTATTGTTTTAAGGGATTATTATTATGGGGGAGGGGAGGGGGTGCAGGGTTGGGGATGAGGGAGGGCAGAGAGGTAGGAGGGTGGCTGAAGGCATGGTCAAAATAGAGGGTCTTGAGTGGAGGCGAGCGAGAGTGGGGTTCACGGAGCCTCGTGGGGGAGAGAACACGAGCTGCAGAGTTCTGGATGATCTGAAACTTGTGGGCGAGGCCGATAAGGAGGGAGGTTCCGCAATCGAGTCTTGAGGTGACGAACGCATACACGAGGGTTTCAGCGGCCTGAGGGGTGAGGCAGTGGCGGAGTCAGGCAATGTTGCGAAGGTGGGGGAAGGCAGAGCGGGTTCCTATTTACTGCTCGGTAAACAGAGGTACGGGGAGTAAGGAAACCTGCCTGAGGTTTCGCCCCGCCCGGGAATCAAACCCGGGTCCTCTCTCTTGCGAGGTGAGTTCAGCAAAGTAGATTGCTGCTGTCAGGAAATGAGCCACGACGGGGAGAGAGCAGGGAATGGGGGTTAGAGTAGAGAGCCCCAGTGGGGGAGCGAGCCCCAGCACAGACACCATGGGGAGAGAGAGAGAGAGCAGGGAATGGGGTTAGAGTAGAGAGCTCCAGTGGGGGAGCGAGCCCCAGCACAGACACCATGGGGGGGGGAGAGAGAGAGAGCAGGGAATGGGGTTAGACTAGAGAGCTCCAGTGGGGGAGCGAGCCCCAGCACAGACACCATGGGTGGAATAGCCTCCTGCTGGGTTGATACATGTTAAGATTGAATGGGCTACGAGGGGGGAGGGCCGAGGGAGGTACCAGAACAAAATACAAAGAGAAAGACATCTGGAGAGCGACATGTGTAGACTGACCTCCCAGTCGGAGTCAGGAACATGAGTGAGAGGGTCTGGAGGTCATTCTGACAGTCAATCAACCTCATGCGGGGGCCACCCTACAACAAGAGGGGAATGCAGGCATTAACCCAAACCTCCCCCTCCCCCCCCCCCTGTGTTACGCAGAAAATCTGTAGCCGCAGAGTTCAGGGGTTAGAGCACTCGCCTCACAAGTAAGAGGGCCCGGGTTTGATTCCCGAGCAGAGAGAAAACATTTCTTCGCTTCCTTACTCCGCACGCCTGTGTTTACCCCGCAGTAAAGTAGGAGCCCGGCTGTTAATAATAATAATAATAATAATAATAATATTCCGTGCATTCGACGTAGTACCTTATCACATCTTCGAGACGTCCCAAAGCGCTTCACGGAACATAGTTTAAGTGAAATGGACTGCCTATCCTGTGGGCAAAACGCAGCCGCTCAGCTGTGGATTGAGCGAACAGTTTTTTTTTAAAGGAATTGTTACGCCCGGAAAAGCGATCCCCCAATCGGGTTCCTCCTACCCGCTAGGCCTGCGGGGTAAGGAAACTTGCCCAACGTTTCTCCCTGCCGGGAATCGAACCCAAGTCTCTCGCTTGCGAGGCGAGTGTTCTAAGCCATTGAGCTGCAGGTTCTCCACGATTGCTGGATTCCTAGATTGTTAGTCCGTTGCTGGGTCGCTTTTTCAGGGGTAATAACCCTTCCCTTTCTCCGGGGCTAGAGAATTAGAGTAGAGAGTTCCAGTGGGGGAGCGGGCACCGGCGACGGGGTAGAGAGGAAGCAGTGGACGGGCTGTCGAGGGGGTTGGTTCGAATTGGGGCGGTGGGGATGGGGTGGTTGACATTTGCACCGTTTCAGACCCAACACAAACAACACATAACAGGATCAACTCCCAACAGTCAGGGATGGGAATTGCCACTTACACAGACCAAAGGGCTTTTTTTTTTTTTTTTTACCTGGTCAGACCCCAGCAGTTCCCCCCCAACGCACAGTCTGGGCTCCCCCCACCCCCAAGCCTTGGCTCTTGCCGACCTGCGCCTAATACTCTCCGGAATTAGGTAAGCGGGATGCTTCCCTCCAGGGAGAGAGAGAGAGAGAGAGAGAGAGACAAACCACGAACCTGAGCCTATCCAACCCACTATACAAGGTGTTCACAAAGTCCTGATCCCCCCCACCCCGCGCGCCCCCAGGGTTGTTTATTCACCCCCCCCCACACACACACACACACACACACACATCCTCTGAATACAGATCTATTAATCTGTATGACCTTCCATGGCTCACTGCTGTGTCGGGCGCTGCCTTTACCCAGGCGGCTGTAAGGTGTAGTGACTGTGTATTTGAAGACAAATGAGGGAGCCGAGGTCCTGCAGGCAGACCCAAACCGAATGTCTGGGGGATTGTCGACCAGGACCCCAGGAGAAAGGGACTCTTTTCCAACAACAACAATAATAATCCTTGCATTTGATATAACATCTTATTACGTTGTTGAGACGTCTTCACGGGATATACTGTGAAGTGTAGCCACTGTGTATTCTGCGGGCGAAACGCGGCAGACGATTGCGCACAGCAGCGTCCCCACAGACAGCCGTGGATTGAGTGGCCAAATTATTATTTGGCTGCAAGGTGTAGTGACTGTACTTGTAAGCAATTAAGCGAGCCAAGGTTCCATGAGGCCAATGACCAGTTTTGTATCTGGGGGGGGATTGTCGGCAAAGACACCAGGAGAGAGACAGAGAGAGAGAGAGAGAGAGAGCTAATGACTCAGCCACAGGCTGCTGAGCAGTCCCGGAGAGACAGTAGCGTTCATATTTATGTACGGTTTATGACTTGACACTGCGATACAGAGGCAAACAGATGCCTCAATTTAACATATTAATGTTAATAATTATAGACTGTTAAGCGAGAGTGGATGGAAACCTGCCCTCAAACTATTCTCCCGCACCTGCTCACCTCAGATCTCGCCCTCTGTGTCATCTTTTTTTGGGTCAGCGGCCGGGCGATTGACACCCGGCTGACCAAAAAAACTTCTTTAATGTCCTTCTGAGCCACCAGGCACTGTAACACCTGAAAGACGGCACCTCTGACAATACGCGGTAACCCCCCCCCCTCCCCGCACCGCCACCACTCTCCCCCCACCCCCCCCCCCGAACATTGTGTTGAAGTGTCAGCCTGAACTCTAACAATACAGTTAGTCCTGTAGCTCAGGGGTTAGAGCACTCGCCTCGCAAGCGAGAGGACCCGGGTTCGATTCCCCGGCCGGGCAGAACGCTGGGCAAGTTTCCTTTACTCCACACGCACGGATTGTCGATTGGCGGATCCCTTTTCCGGGGTAATAATTCCTTCCAAAAATAAAATAATAATGACAATTAAGCTGTCACTTCGAACCACGACTGTTTGTGGGGGGGGGGGGGGGGCGGAGATGCTGCTGTGCACAATGCGTTCGCCCACAAATATACAGTCAATTCACTTTACAGTGTGTTCTGTGAAGCGCTTGAGACGTCTCGAAGACGTGATAAAGCGCTGTATCAAATGCCAGCATTATTATTATTATTATTATTATCATCATTTACCAAGTCCGCAACACGGGAGTTCAAATCCACATCACCCTGAAGCAAACTTTACTGACCGAGAGCACAGCCTAATGTGGTCACCAGGTGGAGTACGTTAACAAGGTGGGGAGTCGGGGCAAAAATGAAGAGGTTGCAGACACAGTTTTAACGTTGCTTTGTTACCTGTTGTTAGCTCTGCTTTGGTACTCTCCCCATCCTCTCCCCCCCCACCCCCCCCCCACCCCTCCAACCCACTACCCCACCCCCACCCAAACGACAGGTGGTCCCCAAGCCTCCGTGGCATTCAAACGCGTCGCAGAAGCTAATGCAAGTTCGCTCACCGCCGTCCATATTGAAACAGGTGTCGGGGTGTTTCAAATGATGAAGGGGTTCGACAGGGCTACAGAGAGACGATTTGCTCTGGTGGGTGGAGGGGAATCCAGAACAAGGGGAGGCTGGGGGTGGGGGGGGGGGGGGCATCATCTTAAAATTAAAGCCAGACCCATTTAGGGTTGAAATCAGGAAGCATTTTTCACGCAAAGGATCGCGGAAATCTGGAACTCTCTCCCTCACCCAAAAGGCTGTGGATCCATTCAGCAATTGGTTGCCGTGCGGTCACTCACAAAATACAGTCACTACACTTTGCAATATAACCTGCGAGCGCTTTGAGACGTCTCGAGGACGTGATGAGGCGCTTTGTCAAAGACAAAGCATCGTTAAAGGATTATTATACTTATCTTCTGATAGAATGGCAAAAACAGGCTCCGGGGGGCTGAATGGCCTCCCCCTGCTCCTGTGTTCCTATGAAATATTAATGAACGCCAGGCAGCGCGTCTGCCAAACAATTAGGCCGACCACAATAATGGTGCGTTCGACAAACCGCTGCAGGCAGCACTCAGCGCAGAGAGAGATCAGAGGCACTTGTTCCATCAATGCTCTGATGTATAAATCATTCACACTGCTTTGAGGCAACGTGACATGTGTTAAAGTCCCCTTACGGGCAGTGCACACGCACACGCACACACACACACACACCCTGACAGGTCTGCACAATTCTTCCTCGTCACCCCCCACCCCCCCCACCCACACACCCACACACACACCCACACACGCGCGCGCGCGCTTCCAGGGCT